CTGCATATGAATTCTAAGGTATTTTTGTGATTCCTTGGAATTTTCTCTTTAGACAATAATGTCTTTTAAAAATAGGGACATTATTGTTTCTTCCTTTCTGATCTTATGCTTTTTATTTCATTTTATCAAGAAATCAAATAATAAGAAATACTGGTGAGGCTGCAGGGAAAAAGGAACCCTCTATATTGCCAGTGGGGGGTGTAAACTGGTACAACCACTATGAAAATCAGTATGGAGACTCCTCAAAAAACTAAAACTAAAAGTTCCACTTGACCCATTTATTCCCCTTCTAGGTATCTTTCCAAAGAGTTAAAGACATCATATTACAGTGATCCATGCATGCCTATGTTTATAGAAGCATGATTTATAATAGTTAAATGTTAGAAACAAGCTATATGTCCATCAACAGACCAATGGATAAAGAAAATGTTATATTTACACACAATGGAGTATTATCCTGCCATAAAGAGAGATAAACTTGAGTCATCTGTAGGAAAATTAATTCTCTTTGAGACCATAATGTTAAGTGAAATAAATCAGACACACATGCTTAAATATTGCATGATGTCTCTTATATGAGAAACTCAAATTATAAGTAAAAAGCAAAATAAAAGGTAAATAATAGAAAGTAAGGAGGTAGAGATTTCTCAAATGGGAAGGAGATCCAGAGATAGATGGAGGAGGAGGACAGGAAGAGGAAGAGGATAAAAAAGAATTAAGATGTGTTATGTACATGTACCAGCCTCACACAAGGGATATAAACATTATATACTACCCACGGGTACTAATAAAACAAACAAAGAAACAAATGCTTGGGACACAAATCTGACATCTAAGCAATCTCCTGGAGCTGTTTCACTGGGGTTTGGATATAAGAGAAAGGATCCTTTCTCCCCTACTATGGGAATGGTGGGAATCAAACAGAGCTAACTTAAAAAAAAAAAAAAAAAACAAGCAAAAAAACCCACTTCTCTGCAATCTTAAGCTTCTTTTTCTCTCTACTCTGACTTTAAAAGTGGGTAAGGGGCCACGGGTTGAAACATGAGTATCTCACTTGAAATGGGGGCAATGGCCTCATTGTCCTGGGCCCACAGCTTAAGGTAAAACTAAAATTGTTCATCTTAATACACTTTTGAATCATTCTTTCATCCACTGCCAAAATCATTCACAGAAAAGCCCCAAAATTTTTCTCCCATATGAAAAATAAATGGGACATTTGTCAAATTTTCTATTCTACTTTCTGAATATGGATTTACATTCAACTTCTGATGGTGAACTTATATTCACAGCAAGGAGAAGACTGTCTTCTTTGACCACCCTCTAGCCCGTCTCTTAACCGGAGCTCCTCATAATTATTTTTTTGGTTGTTTCTCACTCACTGAATTCAACAGAAAATAAAACAAGACCAGTATTGTTGAATTTTCCAGAGAACACCAATCATTTGACGTCACCCTGCTCAAAATGTACCCCAGGGTGATCTCCTATAGCACCCTTGGGACAGATAAAGCTGTCAGAGACTTACTTGGGGGTGGGGTTCACATTTGCTGGTTTTTTACCTTCTTGTCCTTTGAAGCCCATTTCATAGTTCTCTTTAAAACACACACACACACACACACACACACACACACACACACACAAAACCCTGCTTTTCTACATCTGATCTTAGCCAAAAGGCCAAGAAGCAACAATCTCTTTTTCTATATCCTGCTTTATTACTGTAGTGAAGCTTAGACATTGCCAACATAAGTACATCCTATTCAGATTTATGTATTTATTCAGAGCCCAGGTGTTAACAGCTTCCTAAAGTCCTGCGGTAAATACAAGAAACAACCTCAAACACTGTAGTTCATTTGAAATTTTAGTACTTAGTTGCTCACAACACAGTTGTTTTCAGAGGACTTCAGAAACTCTTCCATGTGCAGAGACACCAGTCCCCCCTCTACTCCTACAGTTTAAGTTCAAGTTTGCTGGAGGAGGCTCAGTGGAAGCAGCCAAAGTCCAAGTGATTTGGCCTGGCAAACTCCTGGTCTGAATTTAATCAGAGGCCTTGAGTTTTCAAACAGCCTAAACTTCTGTAGGCCATTTTTGTAATTATATCGGCGCACGCGTTTTCCCATTTCAGTAATAAAACCACAAAGATCTTTATGTTCACAGACAAATCTTCAGTATTGTAAAAGAAAGACAGTATGCAAATAGAAGCTCAAAAATTCCAAATAGGCAGACTTTTCAGAGTCAGTCAGCATGTGTGCCTTGGCTGGGAGCTCTCCTTTGCCAACTCCTTTACTCCACTCAAACACACATTTCATTCAGATGCAAGAGGCTTTATTAACAGAGATGCCTCTGCTCTGCTTTGATATTCTGAGCCCAACTGAACGTGACTGACCAAAGCTCTCCCCACACGCTGGACACCCATCTTTAATGAAGACCGGCTGAGGGCGCTGGCCTACGGAGGTAGGCCCAGCGAACTCTGACCCTTGGCTGGTCCATCAGAGCTAGGGGTCCACACCACTTCCTCCTAGGGGTTTTGTCCATGGAGCTAATTCAGTATAAGTTTGTACAAGGAAAGTAGAATTAAAATATTTCTGTTCCTTTTGATTACAGCAAAATCAACTGAACACAAAACATAGTTTGTAAGTTTTAAGTGTACAATCACAGACAGGCGCCACGAACCATGGATGCCAAGGAAACATAAATTAAGGTAAATGTCACAGTCAAATATACATCAAATTTAATGATACATGTTTAATGATATGCATAATTGCAGTATTAGCCCAACTGGATGGGAGGAGGTGCTGGAAATACAGTTTACCAACTTCATAAATCAGCTGCCTTTGGAGACCATCCAGCCTTACTTTTATTCCAGCTCCCCAAGAACAAAGAAATACTCCTTCACTCTCTCTCTCCGCCATCTGCAGGCCGAAGAACAGGCTGGGAATGGGAAATAAGGAGAGGTCTCTCTGCATAGCCCTTGCTCAGAGCTACCAGCAGGAACTCTTTCCATGGCAAAACCTCAGCACCCTGCATAGTGTGAAGGACAATTTGTTAAAATCATGACCTCTGTGAAGATGGAGTGTTTGTGTTGCAAGATGAGGGAGATTTGGCATTGCAGTGTGAGAGTCTGGGAAATTTACCCCAAGTGCATACTGGTTAAATGGTTTGTTTTTCAAAAGCCTAAGGAAATGGGAATTTTAAGGACTTTTGAGTTTTAAGGAAAAGGTGAACATGAATTAGAACCCGCCAAACCCATTCTTCTTCATTTAATATTTGCATCAAGGGCAGGCCCTACTCCTTCTTTTTCCTTCTGGACTTCAGGCACTCAGAGTTGGGTGAGCCAGCAGCTGGGATAAGATATCCACAGTCCAGCCTTGTGAGTCCAGTCCTACCCAGGACTGTTTTCCTAACTCTGTTTTGCTTTGATTGGGAGTGGGTGGGTATAAGAATGTTTATAGCCTGCTTAGGAACTTTGCTCGATGCCAGCTGCACCCAAGAAGAATTTCAGGATGCATTCCAAAATGAGAATACACAAAACTTTCCATCCAGCTATAATCATTCAAGAATATGAGAAGAAAATTTCCATCCTATCTGTGTTATAAATGACCCATGGAGGTTCTTTCCTAAAAGTAAACATGAGTGACACTTCTACTCATTAATATTGAGAATCTGGTCCTGTTCAAATGCCAGTCCAAATAAAGATAGTCCAAAGATAGTTCAGAGAAGTTATACTTCCCCCTACCTACTTTTGAATATTTTCTCATTTCCATGAATAATCATCTCTCTGTAAATCACATGGTGTGTGTTGATCTAATCAAAGGACTAAACAGACAGAGCCTGGGAGGAAGCCTTCTTGTGGACAGAGAAATGTTTTGTCAGATAAAAGAAAGAAGGGCCCCCAAATGGCTTTCCTGAAAAATGAAGATTATTTACATAGGGAGATGGTGTTTCAGAATAATTAGTCTCAGAATTGGTATACCATGGGATTAATGATAACTCATTAGAGTTCTATAAAACAGCACATATTATTAAGAGTAAAATAACAAACTCTGTAAGAAAAGTTCATGTATCCAATTATAGCATATGGTTTTCAAAGAGGAAACCAATTAAAGCAGCTGTACTGTAAGTTGATTCTGGAAGGCAGGCTCGTAATGAGTAATTACAGTAGTAAGCCTTCACTCTGCCACTGATTACTACACACACACACACTTTGTGCACACTTCGGGCAGTGCTTTGTTTATAGGAGGCCTAGATGTAAAGTTGTACTTGCTAACAGAGCCTCACAAACTTCTACCACAAAGTTGGTGTCAGGAGGCAGAAGGGATGTTGCTTTGTAGCTTAACCAGTTCCTACCAGGTTTTTGCTCTGTATTTAAAAAATGGTGTACAGAATACTGTTCTCACATCAGAGTTCATGAAATCTTGATTCCTGGTTCTGCTTCTTCCACTGCCCAGAGCTATGACTTTGGGCAAATCAGTTAATGCCCCCGTGGCTTGATTTGCTCTCCTACTGGGCTGCTCCCCAGTCCCTTGGGACTCGACATCAAAATCAACATCACAGGAGGTCATGGTGTCATTGTCCTTATCTTCCCACATCTATGTCCACAAATTCCGTCACACTCCTCACTCTACTTTGCCTCTCTGTATATTACGACTGATGCCAGGAGACCATAACGCAGAGATGACCTTGTGTGACCTTCAAGGGCAGATCATAGAGGCAGATGCCTTTGGACCTGAGCTTATGTGATACATCCTAACTATTTCTAAGATATAAAGTATCCACACACAGATCTAATATTCCCACCCTGGATTAACATGGAAGACAGTCAACTATCCATCGCTGTGAAATTAGGAAGGACAGAAATGGAACAAAGAGGACTATCTATCATAAAATACAACAAATTTTTCGCTTGCCAGAGAATATCCCTGAGCAATAGCTAGTGGTGACTAATTAGGCTGAAGGTTTGAGACCAGCACTGTGTTTGTAAAACAAAAGAAGAAACCACTCACCAACTCCAGACATTGCCGGTGGCCATAGGCAGCAGCATAATGGATGCTATTGTACCCCTCCTTGTCCCGGATGGACGGGTTTGCGTCATGTTGAAGCAGAAACTCCAGGCATCTGTGAGTGTGAAGATGAGCTGTTATTTTAGACAATATCTCTGGACAAAATGGAATGATTAATGTAAATATACCCTATTATGAATGCTCCACAAAATACTTTATGAATTTGTTTCTTTAAAGATCCTACTGTGATGAAGCTTTATGTGATGGAGGGGTGCGTGCGCGCATGTGTATGTGTGTGTGTGTGTGTGTGTGTGTGTGTGTGTGCGCGCATTTTGTAGTTGTCTTTACTTCAGTTTACAATAGCCATTCTAGATTCAGGAAAAGCTTTGGGAGCAAATGGGTAATTAATGTTTTTTTCTTCTCATCTTAAGGTACAGAACATGTCTATCATCAAGATTACTGAATAATAACATTTAAATCTCCACACTCAAAAGTTTAAATTGCAGCGGAAGTGGTGGTACACGCCTATAATCCCAGCACTTGGGAAGCTGAGGCAGGAGGATCCTCATGAATTTGAGGCCAGCCTGGGCTACATAGAGAATTCAAGGCCAGCTTGAAATACATAGAGAAACCATGTCTCAAAAAACAACCAAAAAAGTTGAAGTCTCAAATGTTACAAAGAAGTGGGGAGGTGTGTGACACATGCTCCCAATCCCAGCTACTCAGGAGGCTGAGGTAGGAGGATCTCGAGTTCAAAGCCAGTCTGGACAACACAGTGAGACCCTGTCTCAAAATAAAATAAAAAGGGTTGAGGGTTGCTCAGGGGTAGAGTGTTTGCTAGCCTGCATAAGGCCTGGGTTCATTCCCCAGTAAGAGAAAATGCTGCCAGGCTATTGCAAGTTGGCAAACCCAACAGAAAGAATATTTTAAACACTGCTATCAGAGACTAAGATTCAAAAGTTATAAAATGAAAATTTTAAATACAGTAAGAAAAAGCAAAAGAACAGAAGGACAGTCAGATAATAAAAAGATGATGGCAGGGGATAAATGCTTAAAAATGTTAAGGGAGCTTACACTGCATGGTTAGGAGGATGGCCTAGAACAAAATATTACATTTTAAAAGCCCTTTTCTGGCCTAGTTGCAGTCCTTCTGAAAGAGCCTCTGAGTTTGGAATGGGGGAGAGGCAGGACCCACGGGTGCCACACACAGTGCCGGGAGGTGCAAAGAGGGAGAAAGGACAGAGAAAGGATCAGGTGGCCCAGGGCCCAGCTCGCTGCCCCGAGGAAGAGCTGCCGGAGCAGGGCTCCCAGTGCATCTTATTTTGGTGACAGTGGGACAAACATCTGCACAAAGCCACGCTGATTGGATGTCAGACTCTCACTGAAGTCCTAAGACCCTGAATGTAACCCTGCCACAGACAGTTCCTGTGGTTCAGTCATAAAAGCTTCAGGGGCAGTTACCTACATTTTGGTATAAGGCAAAAGGGATAAATAAATTCCTAAACTGGTTCTTTAATTTCTAGAAAACTGATGAAAGAAATTTTTTAAAAAATCAAATACTCACTCATCGTATTTGTCCATAAATACTCCATAATAAATCAAACTTTTATTAGAGTCCTGCTGTCTTTGGGCATTGTACCTTATAAGGAAGTCCTTTTGTCTCTGGATAGGGTCCCAGGTATGACACACTGTAAAGTGAATTTGGCTCTTTAAATGAAATGGTTCCCTCCACAGGACAGCACGCTAGTCAGCATGCTCACCCCAACTTCTGAATGGATCTAAGAATGTGCTGATGAATTCAATTCATGATTTGGGAAGTATCTGGAATTGCTCCTAAAGATTACTGAACCCAGAATACAGCTGGATTATACAACTGACAGTATGATTATAGTAACAATATTCTCCACACAGCTTCTAAGGAGAGTAAATTTCATGTTTTAAGTGGGAGTCTTATCTTTTCTCCCGCAGAGTCCTGACATAAGTCGCCCTGTAAGGTAGGGAGGAAGAAGCCCTGCAGGCTGGGAGGGTTGGACAGAAGCCCATGGTGGGGGATCTGGACCTGGGGAGCAGCTCTCTTTTGCCGGAAGGAGCTCCAGCACCTCCTCTCCCTTTCTCTTCCTCTGCCATCCTGAGGCTGCTGGGGTGCCAGGGCAAACTCAACTCGCACTTCCCTGGGAGAGGCAGAATTTGCTTTCAGTGCCATTACTTTGAATTTTGGAGTGTTAGGCAAAACCTCAGTCAGTCTGCTCTCCTCATAGCTGGGTCTCATGTCCCTATCAGCAGGACCACACACTCTCACTGCCCTTCCAGCGTGCTCTGGCCATGCGTGGGCAGGGGCCTGGGCGAGGCAGGCAGCCCTGAGGGTGGGCACAGCCTCTGGGTCGTAGAGGACCAGGTTCCTCTGGGACCTGGAAACCACAGGCTAGGTGAGAGCAGCCAATCCTGCCCCTGTGAGGGAGACACTCAGGAGCCGGAAGGAGGTGGGGACAGGGCCCAGGCAGCTGTCTGCAGGGCGCAGGAGGCCTGCGTAAGCTGAAGTGCCAGAGACAGGGAGGAGTAGGGGAAGCACAGCTGTTCATGTCGTACCAAAGCCCCACGACCTGTATTCATAGAATCTGCAAGTAGCTCCCAAAGTCAGAGAGGCAGAGCCCAAGGCTGGAGGAAGAGGCCAAATTCATCAGGGTACAGGGCAGTCACAAATGACATCTGAGCTCGACAAGTGCGAAGAGTGCATTGCTAGAAAAAGATCCCTGTGTGGTGACAGCACGACTGGGGGAGGCACGGGACGCACAGCTTCTCCACTGTAGGCGAGCCCACGTCACTTCCGCAGACCCCAAGATAGGCAGGCAGCCCACGCAACAACCCCAAGAGCCAGCGGCTCATCCCTCCTCTCAGAAGAAACTTACAGTGCAGCTTCCTTCTCCTTCAGCTCCCTGGCTCTTTCAAGTTCTTCCAAATTTTCATGGGCATTTCCCAACACGGTCTTACTTTTCAGCATTAAGGGAGAGAAGAAAAAAATCACAATTAATTTTTAAAAGTGCAGTCATTCGTGGTCTTGATATACTTGTGTCTCAGTTATTTTTACCCCCAAAGAACGGGCACCACTGATTTTCACGGAGGATGTACATGGTTCTCCCCAAAGCTATCTAGTAAATCTGTTCCTGCTCCAGGAATCCAACTGGACACCCACATGTCTGTGACCAAGAACATTCCTGAGCCCCCGCCTTTCCGGAAGCACCCCAAAACTCCCCAAGGGAAAGAGGCACCTTGGTTCAAACTCCCCCATCCCAGCACATGCCTCGCTGCCCCCTTGAAGGTCAGCATCTCACTCGCTGGGAGTGGGGTCCCCTCACCCTTCACCCTCAGAACAACTCGCCCCCCAGGACTCCTTTCCTGTTCTCCACAGATGGAGCAATTCGCTCCCCCATCTCCTCCACCACCATCTTTTCCAAGGGAATAACACAGAGCCTGGCATATAGCAGGCACTCAACAAATGTGGGCTGAATTAATATCCTGAATTAATTCCCATTGAATTAATGGGCTGAATTAACAACCCATTACAGAATAATGGAGTCAATTTAACGGGCTGCCGTCTGTGATTTTTTAAATGAAATGGAATTGAAAATATCAGAACACACTACATGGAGCAAATGCAAATATGGTTTTTTGAAATTCCCATTTCTGCCTCACACGCATACATATGTGAACGTGTGTGCCGGGTCATGGTGGAAGATGAATTTCTTACTGTGGATCAGCATCTAAAATGTGTGAAGGGCCGAGGGTGTAGCTCCTGTGGTAGGACATATACTTAGAGTCAAAAATAAAATAACATTTTAAAGTGTTTGGAAATCGTTCCTCTACATCACAGGACAGCAGACAACTCAACAGTTCTCCAAACAGGGTCATCAGAAAGTATTCCCATGAAGGAGGCCTCGCCTTAAGTCTTCAAGAACAATTTCATGAACTGTGGACTCCTCCTCCCTCTTGAACTGGTTCTGCTTTCCATTCCTAGCCACCTAGAATCAAACACCAGGGCCACCCATTTCCTGTCCTCCAGCTGCCCAAAGAGCACTCAAGATCAGGTTTGGGACAAAGACCCTATCTCAGCCACCCTAAGGCTGTGATCTTGGGCCACTGGGATTGTGTACAGGTGGATGCTTTTGATGTATGACGTATATATTAATTAGCAAATGTAAGTTTTACAGCAAACGAAGCATCTAAGTGGTGATGATGAAAACTCTGGTGTATCCTGAATAAATTACAAAAGATTTTAAACGAACTGAAAACCTGGCCTTGATGGCTCCATCTGGAATCTGACCCAAAGAACACAGAAGAGAAAAACTAGTGCCGAGTAAAACTCGAACGTGACTCTAACTTCCTGGGCTCTGGAAGATAGATCTTCACTTGCGGTTCCCAGGAAGTGGCATGAAGAAAATTCAGCAGTGCCCTCTCCCAGCCCTCCCTCCCCACAGAGCAAATATAGGTGACAGAGGCCATCTTTACTTTCTGTCCACATCCGAGGCCGCAGCATAGTGCAGAGCTGTCCGCCCCCAGTCATCTGTTTCGTTGACGTTGGCCCCCGTGGTCACTAAAGTCTCAATACAGTGGAAATGACAATTTGCAGCTGCATAGTGCAAAGGGGTTCTGGAAAACAAATAGGAGCGCATTACTCACTCAGCCTGGAACAGAGCAGCGTGGACGCGAGCTCACACAGCAGGACCGCTCGGGTGTGGAATGCTCTCTGGCGCTCTGGGTGTGGAGGCCAAGGGATGCACCTTCCTTTGACTCTATCAACCGAAACTGAGACTGCAGCCTGGGGACTTCAGATGGACAGGCACAGTGCTGCTAATCTTTCTGTCCATTCCTAGTGCCTGCTCAGTTCGGGTCTATGTTATTGTTTTTTTGGACCATTGAAAGACCATCGCCATGGAATCCACCAAGACCATCCTCAGTCCTAATCAAGCTTCCATCCAATTCTTAATTTGTACAAATGAAGAATAGAGTCTTCTAAGGTCCAATCCCCACATATAACAATCCTGTTCGAAAGCCTTCAGTCCCCTCATTGACAAAGGCTTGATTCTTCAGCCTGGAGCTGAAAGCCTTCATGAGCTGTCTCCAATTCCTCTCACAGTGTCTCTCTCGGCTATGTGACTCATTAGTGTATCCCAAACCAATGTCCTGAGGGTTTCCGTGTCATGTCCACACCTCCTCTACCTGTGCTCACGCTCTACCTTCCACTCATCAGAACCCTGCTGATAACCGGGCATGGTGGCACATGCCTGTAATCCCAGCCCTCTGGGAGGGTGAAGCAGGAGGATGTAAAGTTCAAGCCCAGACCGGACAACTTAGTGACTAAGTGACAGTCTGTCTCAAAATAAAACTAAAAAAGGGCTGGGGATGTAGGTAGCTCAGTGTAAAGGCTCTGGGTTCAATCCCCAGTACTGCCAAAACAACAACAATAACAACAAGAAACCCTACTCATCCTTCATGCTCTAGAGGTTAAGTCTTTCTTTGTCTGAGATCACTCAGTACTCTGAGTCTCTTCTGAGCGCACACGATGTATGGCCTTGGTTTACATGATCAGCATATTGTCTGATCCTCTCCAATGCTCCTGAGGGCAGGCATGCAGGCTGATGGGAAGAGCCAGGCATGGACTCAGAAGCCCCAGCTGCAGTCCAGGCAGATCTGCAGGCTGGGCCAAGCCACAGGCTCCCTCCAGGCCTGGGCCTCCTCATCCTTACTATAACAGCTGTTCCCCAGGTCTTCACCAGGTCTAAAATTCTGTGTACATGTATAAGCCATGACGGTGCTTGGGCTCAGAGTGCTCATCTATTACAGAAGGCCACAGGCACCCAGACAGCCCAGGAGCTGCCACGAGAAGCACCCTAACAGGGCGACACGGCAGAAATATGAGGCGATTTGTTCTATCTTACTTATTTTTAGTTCTCATTTATTGAACAGTTTTTCTGGTGCGACTAACCATCTTCCAGGGAATAATATGCACAACACTAGAAAGTAACTGAAGTTCGACAATTCTTTACAATTTTCAAGTACAACTGTTTTGCGTTTTATAGTCCATTTCTGGGCTTGTTTACTACTTGGTTTTCTTCTCTTCAGTCCCAGAGAAAGACATTCTAAGTATTTCATATCCTGGATTGCCCATGTTTTGATGTTGGGCTGAAAATCATTAGGCATCAGGCACACGACAGCCTAAAGATAGAGAAAACAATGCCAGTGCTTGTCTCAGGAGACTCGAGGTCAGGAGGGAAAGAGGACAGGGACAGGGTCCCTGAGTGCAGGGTGATGTGAATTTCAGTGGTGGGGTACGTGGGTGCCAGGGGAGGACAGAGAAGGCACATTCCCACCAGGGCAGGGAGCTGTCACTGACATGAATCTGGAAGGATGAGGAGCCGTCTTGGGTAGGGTGGTAAGAGAAGAGATTTGAAGCAACCCTAAAGAGATGGAGTGCCCAGTGCGGGGAGGGGGGTGCTAGGGGAAAGAGTAAAGAGTCATGTGGTGCCTAGTGATGATTTCTGAACAACACGTTGTTAGGTGACTTTGTCATCGTGTGAACACAAACCTAGATAGTGTAGCCTACTGCACATCTGGGCTGCATGGGGCCACCATTACATATGTGGGCAGTGTTACCAGAAATGTCACTGGATGTATGCATGTGTGTGTGAAAGAAACACACAGCCGTGTACTAGCATCACGGCACAGTTTAGCTATACAAAGGACCATAAAGGTATAAGTCACACGGCCCATTGTAGCTTGTGTGTTAACGTACGGATATGTCTGAAAATTTATCCCAAGACAAAGTGTCTGACACATATGACAAAATCATCTAATCTTATGACCACATCCTGGGGTACAAGGGCGAATGTGTTCTGTTCTGCTACAAATGAGTCTCCTAAATTAGATCCATGGGAATAAAAAAAAATGAAAGAAACGAGACAAGTGGCTCCTCTAAGCAGAAGCCAAGAGAGGGGATGCTTTCCCTATGGCCAAGTCTTCTGGTTGGCATTTCCCTGTAGGGGCATTCCCGTCAGGGTGGGCCCCCAGGCCACGTCAGTGTTCACACGCCTCCTCGGCGGGCCACTTCCACTCCTTCTACTGAGGCCCTGAGGCGCAGCATCCTCATTACATACCTCCCACATTTGTCCTTTTTGTGGAAATCCGCTCCACTGCTCTGCAAGAGTTTTATACATTCCACATTACTAAAAAGACAGAGAAAACATCGTGAAGATGACAGTAAAGGGCAATTACTGGGGAATCTTCTCAAAGAGCTGTTTTCCACAGAGCACAGGCTCGGATGAAACCATAGCTCCAGGTTTCACATTTTGCTAACATGACACAACCTGAACACAGAGTAAGTGACACCATATGGTGAGAATCAAAAGTTCCTGCCTCAAAGCAAATAAGTTAAAGAGCTCGGTGGAACATCTCCAATTCTATGACTAAGGCATTTAATGATTATTATATGATTAAACCCTCCAAGGATGGTCTCATCATGTATCCTAAAATTAATTTTTCAAAACATCCCAAACTTAATGAAACAATCCTTCAACCTAATGTGACTAACTTCATGTTGCATTAAAAAATGAGCTACAGAACATGCACATTTCCTTTTATCATAGCAGAAAAAAATTCCCCATGATCACCACTTTCAACTCAAAATTCCTTAGTGGAAAATAAAACAGCACATTTCCCTGCTTTTGTGAGCTGGGTAGATAAATATGCAGAAGCAAGGCTGAAGATGATGTAATGGAGAACAGTGATCTTCCAAAGCTCCTGGGTCTTCCACCAAAGCAATGAATCATGAGTGGTAGAGAGAGAACCTACTGATACATATGTTCCCCTTGAAGGACATGTACTGCAATATTAATTTTAATAGGAATTCCAGACATGGATTCAGAATGGCAAATTGCTACTTGATGGACAAGTCTGATATTGTGAAAAATGCAGACGAACAGGCAACCATTCATCATTGTTCTGAACTTGGGATGCTAAGAAGTGGCCTGGGATGTATTGTTTCATTATAATTTAAATGAGAAATAATGATCTCATTGCTGATAAGCCTGAAAGGGCTCTCCCCACTCCACCTCCACCCTTCACAGCCACCTTTCTCAGAGAACTAGCTACTCAGTCAGGAAACGGGAGGGCAGGATGCCTGTTGGCAGGAAGCACCTGTCTCCTCCTGCCAGTGGCCAAGGGTCAGAGGCGGGGCGGCTGAGTTTTGTGGCTCAAGAAGCTCATTTATCTGGGGGTCTGGTGTGAGGGAAGGGGTCTCTTTTAAAAATGCAAAATTATGAAACCAAGACCGGGTATAAGACTTTAGGATGAACCCTGAGCCTACAGTATCCCCCTCTGCTAACTGGGCGACACCCTTGGCAATGCACAGATGGCAGTCAGAAGCACTGCTGTCCCTTAAGGACAAGGACATGAAGAGCCAGCCTCTTGACCACACGAGCTTATCCAGGATGCCAGGTTTGGTCAGCGCAGGGTCATCTATCAACAAGTTATTGATCAGAGCTGTAATCTGACCAATCTGAGGGGAAAAGGACAATAGCTGATGAAACATAACAAAAAGGCCTATTTGCTATAGGAGCTGGGCTGACATTTTTTCTTTGGAAGAACAAAATGCAAGTAATCTGGTGATATTTGGTAGAAATGATTCTTACCCAATTTACTAAGGAAACTGCCTTTGGGTCACAGACAACTTCAGTCAATCAAGATGTACTATGTCACTAAGCCATGTGCTCCCAGGACAGCTCAGTACTCACCCTCCTGCAGCAGCAGCGTGAAGGCACGTTCTTCCAAATTTATCTGGGGTATCTATTTCAAAGCCTGCAGACAGCACGTGCTCATTACTAAACAAGGACACTAGGCTATACTTTTGTCCTAGTTAAACCACAAGAAACATTGCAGAGACAGAAAAATCAGTTAGTAGGAAAACCAGAAGGCAAGCAAGTGTAGTCAGAAAGAGGTTGTCATGGAAACAAATGGTAACTGCTCAAGCGTGGCAATTTCACAGGAAGCGCCACAAAGTCAAGAGGGGTTTATTCTCACACTCAGCCCTGCGTGAACCACAGCCCCATTTTTCAATTCCAGGATAGAAACTTATGAGACTGATTTGAGATAAGTAGGGCAACAGATAGGCAGACAGAACACACGGAGAAACACGGACGCCAGAGGAGAAACCCTAACATTGCAGGGAGTAGATGTTTGCCTCAGTGTGTTCCAATCTTTCTGTCGTCTAAGGTCTGGGGGGCAGGCTTTCACGCAGGGATTATTTTCAGATGTACCAAAAGCAGTGAAAGCAGGTCAATTACTTAAAGGGGAAAATCTGCCTCTGGAATGCTGATGAATTGATTTGGGAACAATCTCCACCTTGCAGACCCCTGCCACTTCTGTAGGCCTAGGAACTTACAGGGAGGCTGGTGGAAGCAGTGGTAGGAAACACTAGGAAAGCTCCAAATCGGAAAGAATTTCTTGGTTCCAACGAGCCTCACATTAAAAAACAAAATTAAATCTAGTTGGAGGGGAATCAGGCTTATTGATTTTTCAGTGCCTAGGGAGTAAGAAGGTAACCTGATATTTTCTACCACTAAAATGTAGAGGATTTGGGCCTTTTCTTTTTTGGTACCAGGGATCGAACTTGAGTCCTTGAGCTAGCAAGGCAGGCTGCGGAACCACTGAGCTAGATCCCCAGCCTTGGGCCTTTACTTTTTGAATAATATTCAACTTTAAGCCACCATTTTAAGCCTCAAAGACTTTTTTGTTTATGACTTAAACTTCCTATGCAGCCTCTCTTTCGTCCCGGCTCACTCAAGCTTTGGCTGAAAATCAGATGGGATTCCCATCCCATGGTAGGGGTGCTGACATGCTAACAGTCTCACCCTGAGGACCAGCGAGGGCTGTGGTGTGCATTTAGCTGCGGGGCCACCTTGTCCTCAGAAGTCATGCGACAACAAGAAGCACAGGCAGCCACGCGCCGGACCAGACACTTGAAGCCATGTGACTCAGGTACAGGACACATGAAGCCCATCTCCGGCAACAGATTCACTTACCTGATGACAAGAGCTTTCTGCAGCAGTCAGAGTGGGCATTTAGGGCGGCTAAATGTAAGGGGAACATGCTATGGATCCCACACCTGAGGAGGGAAAAAAGAGCAGCTCACGATGACCGGTACATGCAAAAGGACACCGCCCCCTTCCGCAGTCCTGGGCGGAAAACCAAACCCACAGAGGGGCCCTGAGTGAGGTAATTCTGTGATCCTTTCATTCCATAAATAATGATGCAATTGCTTTCAACCTTAAAATAATAAAACCCTAGGTCGAAACCAGAATTAAAAGCCTATAACCATAGGAATATAAGTTTTAAAGAAAATTTTGTTTCACATAAACAATAAGTTTTTAAAATCAATTCCCCCCCATTTCCTTTCAGTGTGGTGATGACACATCTCATTCGTTCACTTGCCTGCTCATCTACTCACTTTCTAAGCATCCCATACTATGCTGAGGCCGGAGGTGATTGCTCTGAGCAAGGCAAACCCAACTGCAAAGTAAGCAGCTTTACACCTCAATTTGATGAACAAAGTTATTATTGACCTAATTAATATGTGCCGAGCACTGCCACGAGTTAGTTATGACAACATTATTAAAAATAAAAATATAAATGAGAATAAAAACTAATGTTTACATTTTGCCAAGTGAAATTTCCTCTTCCTAACAGACTTCTAACGTTAGCCCAGTCACAAGATCACAGGACTAAGAAGCATCCCTGTGCACACACCCCACTGACGCAGCATCCAGAAGGAATCCTGAAGAGGCTTTGTTAGACTGTCCCTTCAGGCCAGGTGGGGGAATCAGGAAGGCTGAGCCTCCTCTCCCAGAGCAAGGACCCTAACATCTCATTTTAATCAAATAGCACGCTTCAGATTTTAAAACGCTCTGTGTCACAAGTGTGAGCCCGTATCTGTTTACACCCTGCAGCACTCATCGCCCGTGTTTCTTCTCGGGCACAAGGTGGCCTGTTCTCAGGTCCCGTGCTTCACAAGGAAGCACACATGATTAGAATTTGTAAGGCTTTGGCTACATGGAGTTTATATGCCATCTCCAAAGTTATTATGCATGTGTGTGTAAAAGCCTGGAAATATATATATGCTTATATTTCATGGTATTCAGTGTTCTGCAAAATCTGTGGCTATCAGCATGTTTTTCCTGATAAGTTCTGTTTATTGTGTCTCTGTTCCATTTTCCCTGTAAGACTTCTCTCCCACATGGAGACTTTCGGGCCAGCGTACATAATAGCTGGCATCCATCAAGAGATGCAATTTGCCAGTCTTCCAGAACTGCTTATAATTGCCTCTCTCCTCCATTACAACAAAGACTCTGACAGCTATTGCATCAGTGATGACCTTGAAGCTGATGGAAAGGACGCGGGTGTGGGGGAGGGGAGGGAAGGCTTTCCTGGTTATGCTGTTATTTATATTGTTCCCTCTTGATTCAATAGAAACACTATTTTAAAACATGTGTAACATGTTTTAAAAGCTTCTTACTAAATGGAACTTTAAGCTCATGTGATTTTACCAAACCACTTTATTTGTTTTGGAGAGTTAAGGCAAAAATGTGTGATTAAATATCTCTGGATTTTTAGAAAAAGAAAATGAGTAAGGTATGTTCTAGGATACTTTTAAGTTCCTAAAAGAACATGACTGAAATCAAAGGCTGGATTTGTTTAAATCTTCCATATTCTTTAAATACACACACATCCATACATGCATACATATAGTACATAAAATATATATTTTTATACAAAATAATACAAGCAAACAAATTAGAGAAAATAGCATCAAACTCTATAAGTAACCAACCTGGAAAAACAAAGGCATAAATAATAGTATAACACCAACAAAACCATAATATATTCCATAAACTTCATTACCAATGCTTCTAATCAACCTACATTACCTAATTATTTCCTTTTTCCATTGCTTTTTATAAAAGAGAAGATAGGAGAGCTAAAACGACTCTGATTTAAAATGGCTAGGGCTGGCGATTTAGCTCAGGATCACCTGCTTCTCAAGCGAAAGGTCCTGAGTTTGATACCCCGTCCCAGAGGAAAAAAAAAAAGTAACTAATTTAAAATGACTAGCAAAAATTTCATTTGATACATTTCTTATTGCACTGTTAATAAAAAGTTGCCACTTCAGTGTAAGTTTTAGAAATATACTAGTGTAGACTCAAGTATTATTAGTATTTGAACTAGACTGTGATACCATAGTTTAAATAGTAAAACTAAATATTGTAAGAAAGAAAAGCAAAATTCAGAATCTCTGAACATGTCAGAAATGATTCACACATTTAAAAATAAACTACTCCTTTATTGGAAAGACTAGATAACCTTTAGCAGGAAAATCAAGACTTGGCTATCTTAGTCAAATAAGCTTCCTTCTTACCTCATCAGGTATACATCAATGAACAATAAGAATAAAGATGCCAAATAACCCTAAAGTTAACAAGGCCTAAGTTACAGGAAAGAGGAGACCAATTCCAATTAAATTGCTATATTTACTTGACAAGTCATAAAATTAATGGAAGCCATTTGTATTTAGCCATTTCTAATTCAGCTATTAGCTGCCACCTCCTACCCAGTTATTTTAGGACAAAAGGGGCCTGAAAGACTGTCCTTGTTGAGACTATCAGAGGCAAAGGAAGGCCCAAGCACTCCTCTTGGCATCAGGAGAAATGCCAGTCCCTTTCCATGTCCAGTCTTTTCTAGAGCCTTCCCTTCAGACCTCATGGGAATGGACACTGTAATTATGGTGGTGAGGTTGGAAACTGGGTTTGAGCCCTAGTTTTGCTACTTCCTATTTGATCTTCTGCAAGTGAATAATGGTTCCTCCTCAGGAAAATAAAGATAATTATAGCGACTATATCACACTGATCATAAAGACTCATTGATCCAACGAGTACAAAGTGCTAGAGCACCTGGTACACAGAAAACCTTTCCCACTGGCGTTCTTACGATTATTTTTATTAGCTTCATTGCTAATCAGCAGCCTGTGCATTTTGAAGCTGTAATCAGCTTGTTCTTCCTTAAAATCAGGGATGTGATTAGAAGCTGAGAGTAGATTGTAATCCACTAGCATTTCTGTTATTTCTCCATCTTTCTAAATCCTTTCCAATACTTACCTCCCAACTCTCCTAGAGAAGTGGGATTGGCTTAGTTCTGTCCCACTCGGTGGGCAGGACAATAGCATTTCCTAATTATGGAGGAGGAGGAGGTTATGATTCTTACCTAAATTGTTAGCCTACACCAAAATACCAAACCTCTCCTGAGTTTCATCTGTGCCATTCTACACATTTGTTATGTGCCCTAGGTTTCAAATATGCGAGTACAGCTGACATCAGTGAGACCTGGTCCTTTCTATCTGTAGAGACAGAAAGTAGACCCTTCTGAGTAAGTCCAAACTAACTCGGTGAGGCAGCCCCTTCTGGGTCAGGCCACTGCCCAAGCTATGGGTCATCCAGGATCTCAGTGACCTCTTTCCAGTCCCCTCAAGAGCCAGGCTCTGTCCTGCCCCTGGCTTTTGCACATGCTAGTCCCTCTGCCTGAAACTCTCTGCTTCTCACCAGGTTGCTCAAAGTAGAAGTGCAAACCTGGGGTCGCTGGAAATAGCTCTGGACTCTCAAGAGTTCTCTGTCAGGATTTAAAAATTGTCCTTTCCTTTTTACGATAATCTGAAACAACTGACACAAGAACATATCTGGGCTCAGCTGAATGACCCCGTCACCGCCACACACCTCTACCAGATATCAGTGCCGTATCGGGATTTGTGATCTCATCGTGCCGACCAGTAAGGGTGGTCTTACTAGACAGGCAGGTAGGTCTCCAATTCCTCTCACTTCATTTCCTACACACGCAGACTCAAGTGCACACTCACACGCACACACTCATAATCGCTGCCTTATCTTCAGCTATGCTGTGATGAAGAAAGCAGATGCGGCTCATCACGGCTGGGTCAGGGTTCCTCCTCTGTGTCCTTTCCACACAGCCAGCGAAAGGCAAGGCTACTTGAACAACTGTGCCATTCCCGAGGCACTGCTACTATGGGGTGGGTTTGCATAAAAAGCAAAGTAGTTACAAGGAAAGAAACTTTGTGCTTATTGAGTTAAATGGGGTTTTCAGGAAATTTTAAATATATAATGGGCCATTTATTTTTAATCCCTAAAATGGGTTTAAATCTAGAGAAAAAAATCAGAAACTCATGGCTGTTTACCAAACTTCCCCAGTTAACTCAAGATGAAAAAATATACCACTGAAATTACTATAATTGACGGGCAGGTTGGTTTGAAGCCTGGGCATTTTGATCTCCAGCTGTGGGCAGTGGGCTAGCTGGGACTCCCTCCCTGCAGAACCCAGAAGGGCCTGCTGAGGCCTAGCGCAAGGCAGATCCTCTTCACTTACTAAGAGCTCCGGCTCAGGGTGGATTCCTCCCTCTCCTGAAAGGAACCCCACTGTTGGTCAGCATCTGTTCTCTGCAGGTCCTCCACCTTGTCCTTGGCCCAAGACATCATCTCTTCTTCCTGAAACACTGGCACATGTTTCCAGCTTGCATGGCCTCTGGTCTGTGGGCGGCCATCAGTGTTATCTCTAGCACAGGCCCTTCCCGGCTCACTCTAATTTCTGTTAACAGCTTCCAGATAGCTCAGGGTGGAATCCAGTTCCCAGGCAGGACATGCAAGGTCCTCCAGGGCACAGCTCTTCTTGCCTGTCCACCTCATTTCTTCCCAATGTCTGATTACCTGCCTTTGGAATCCGCTTTCAAACCGTTGGCATGTTTGCATCTTCATAAGGCTGTTCCTTTCTCATCGACAATCCTTCCATACTCTCCTCTCCTTTTACCCCATGTGCTGTCCACCTACACACTCCTACAGCCTTCCTCCTGCCGACATGCATCTCTTCTGGGAGCCCCAGAGCCAGTGGGTCTCTGCTCCCTCAGCCTGCTCCCAACTGCCATGGTGAAAACCCTCACAGTTCTGCTGTTTGCGCTCATAGCACCTCGGCTAAGTCACCACACTGGGCTCTGGGGTCACTGGGACTCAGTTGACAAGGTGAACGGTCCCATGCTCCAGGTCCAGGCAGAAGGCCTGCCCTCTGAGACTGCTGTCCATCGTGATCTCATGCAACTTCCCTGGGCCATTTCCCTGCTGGCTCACTCTCAAGAGACTTTCAATTCTGGGCTGGACATGTAACAGAATTTCTAATACCCACTGCCGCAGGCTGTTCTACAAACCCAGTTAAGTCACCTGCAGTCCCTGGGGTCAAGGCTAACTCCTTACTCAGGTGTTCAAGGTCCTCTTTGGTTTGGTCCTATTACTTATTAAGAGATGAAATACCAGCATTTATTGCCAGCCTACTGTGCACCAGGCATTGTTCAAAGAGCCTCTAACAGGGACGCTGCCTAGCAGCCATCACATGTGTACTGTGTGACCAACGCACCCCCACCCAGACCTCTCCAAGCTGGGCGAGCACCTCGTAGCCCCTCTAACAAACCCAGGAGCAGGTCATTATCACCCGGTCTTCACCAGAGGAAATCAAAGCCCAGAGGGCTGAGCAATGGGCTCAAAGGCCCAGGGGAAAGCAGGGCAGACCTGGATGGCAGCTACCACATGGTCCCGCCGCAGGCAGAGCGTGACATCACCACGCTCAGGGCATGATGTCACCGCAACCTCCCCTCAGAGCATGACGTCAGCGCACACCCCTCGGTGCAGGCGCCCTGGCCCCCTGCACTCCCCAGGTCCAGCTCTCCCTCGCGTCCCCGCGTCTGCTGTCCTCCACCGGTCCGCCGCAGTCTTCATCTCTCCCACCCTCAGCGCTCCTTCCTGCCCTCCTGTTCACACCTCACTGCCGTGTGGTTCTGAACCGTGGGCCCGGGCCCCGCCAGGTCACGGCCTCCCGCGGCCTGGCACCCACGGTTACCACGAGGGGCCCAGGGCCCTGCTCGCTGCTCCGCGGACCTGACGGACGCCGCCCCGCCACGGCCAGCCCTAAAGCCTGCAAGAAGGCCGCGTCGGTCCCGAGTTGGCCCAGCTCCTTCTCGTGTGGAGCCGCGCACGCTGGAGGACAGAAGAGCAGCAAAGAGGAATAAAAGTCGGCTCTCAATCAGGGCCGCTGCCGGAGGAAACCGGCTCCTGGCTCCTCCTCGGTCCGTCACCCTAGGGCCCTGTGGCCAGAGTGGCAGGGTTCGCCGACTGCGGCAGCCACGCGCGCCCGTGACCTACTTGGCAGTGTCGGCCCCGCTGGTGATCAGCGTGTTAATCAGAAGCTCGTGGCCGTAGCGCGCAGCCACGTGGAGCGGAGTGTTGCCGTCCTTGTCCACGCAGTCGATCTCGCCCCCTGAAAGACATTTTAACACGCATCACGTGGAGGCCCGGCCAGGTCGGCGCCAGGTCCCGAGCTGGTCACTGGTGTGGCCCAGCACAGGCTGCTCCGCCCCAGTGGACGTCACTGCTCACCACGGTTTTGAAAATCTCTCCGTATTGCCATGGTTAGGGATCTAAAGACTTACAGCGAGATTGCCGATCCAAACTAACAATATAAGCTAATTCCACGAAGTGTGACTCAAAGAACCAAAGGGAATAGGGAGCTCAGGAAAAGACTTCATGTGGTTTCATGATCTAGGTTAAAATATGCACGAGTAAAAGCACAAAGTATAAGCTGAAAATGCCTGTATTTATTAAAGCTATTGTTAATTTTCCATAATTCTTTCAATAAAGTAGTTTCATCTAGTCTTATTTTGCCTTCGTTTTCTCCCAACTTTTTATTTCACATTTTTTCCTCTCCTATGTGTGTGTAAAGGCAATTAACCTATTTATTCATTTGTCTGAGGAACCATTTAAAAATAAGGCAGACACCATGACATCTCACCTCAAGCATGTTTCTCCTAAGAACAAAGACAGTTCCACACACGAACACGCTCCATCACTGTGCCCAGGAACTGAACACTAGTAAGGTTTTGAGCAATGTACACAGCACACTCCAATTTCTCCAGTGCTCCCAAAATGTGCTTTATAGCTGGTTTTGGTGTTGATAAATCTGGGATCCAATCAAAGACTCCAAGGGCAGTTGGTTGTCATGCTTTTTCAGTTTCTATTAATCAAAAGCACTCTTCCTGCCTTTTACTTCCTCATTTTTCAGCTCCTGCCTGTGGTTGATATTTTTCGGAGACCTGACCGGGTTGTGCAGGACGTGTGCATATGGAGTTGCCCCAGGGTTCCCTCACTGTTAGGTTTGGGCCAGGCTCCTCCCACCACAGTTCCTCAGAGTGCATGGGGCTTCCTGGTGCCATCGCTGGTGAAGCAGTGTTTGATTCTTGGCCCTGGGTACAGTTTCAGGATGGCTGGAAATGGATGGTGGTGATGGTCACATAGCGTAGATGTAATTATGCCACTGAACTGTTCTCAGACATGGTCATAATGGCAAGTTTTATGTTATGCGTACTTTACTTCAATTAAAAAAGAGAATGGCTAGCACATTCTAGAGCAAAAATGTCTCTTTTCCCCTTTGTAATAAAACAGATTTTGTGGTGGTACTTTGAGACTGTAAATATCCAGTTTCCAAACACACTTAGCCCTGGTGGCTTTAGCATGGATGGGGAAGGAACACTTTTTCCACAAGTGGCCTGAATTCTTCATCTGTGTACCTCTAGTACCATTTTGACATATGGTTAGGTTCCTTTGATTCTGTGTGTAATACAATTTTTTACAAGACTTGATTCATTTTATTTAATTAACATGTAAAATATTTATATGTTCCAAAAGTCAAAAGCATATTTTTCAAAAGCCTCATTCCTATTTCCTGTACTTTGTCCTCATCCACTTCCCACCATAATCATTAGTTTTAGTTTACATTTCTTGTGTTTCTCTTTCCAAATACCTCCCCCCATCCTGGAACTCACTCTGGGGATTACTTCCTGAAGGTGACCTCTTTTTTGTGTTGCGTTGTTTTCCTTGTCATCAAGGTGCAAGTTTTGTGCATTCATGTCCTGAGGATTAGGCTGCCACACCTGGCTGTGCTGGGAGCAATGCTGTGACTAACCTCATGCACAGGCATGCATACGGTTTCATATTTGTCACATGTACCTTAGAGCAGTGGTAGCGAATCTACGGCACACATGCTATTTGTTTTTCTTTTAAGACAAAAGATATTAATGTAGAGCTGTTTTTTCTAAACTAAAACCTCAGCATTCAGGTTTAATTGCAGTGTTGGCACTTTGTAATAAATAAGTGGGTTTGGGTTGCAGTTTGGGCACTCGTCTTCAAAAGGCTCTGCGTTGCTGCCTTAGTGTAAATGCCCTCAAAGGGGATTTCCAAGTTCGAGGATGAAGGAAGCTGTGGTTTTGTTAGATTATTTTTTCTTTTTTGCCAAATGTTCTGTGTAGAACTCTAACCAGCACTGTAGGAGGGGGGCCTCTCCCTCAACCCCCTTGTCCAGCTTTTAAGTATCTGCCATCTGATGAGCAATCGCTGATATTACAGGGGAATTTTCATTTGCATTTCTCTTAATATGAAGGAAGCTGGACATGTTTTCATATATTGAAGCACCACTGATCTTTTTCTGTGAACTGTTTCTCATGCCTTTTGCCAATTTTTCTAAATGTGTGTGTGATCTTTTATACTTTGATTTTCAATAGCTCTTAAACATTTGGGAGATTACACACTTATCAGTAATGCATTTTACAAATATTTTTCCCAAGATTTTTTCTTTTTTGATTTTTCTTTTAATTTATGATGTTTATATCCTGTAAAATTTTAAAATAATTTATAAGTCTTTTATTTTATTTGGATTGTAAGTCATTTTTAGGAAGGCTTCCTCCACATCCTGGTAACAAAGAAATTAACGTATTCTATACGGGAAAGGGTCATTTGTTAGATTGAAACATCTGATCCATTTGGAGTTTATTTTGGTGATAGTGTCTCAGTTGGCTGCCTAAATAAATATTTCCTGAATGCTTGAAAGAATCAAAGTCCAGAAAAGGGCTTGAACAATTCACAGAGACAGAAAGTAGATTAGTGGTTGCCAGGGTCCAGGGGAGGGAGGAATGGGGAGTGACCACTAATGGTCTGAGGTTTCTTTTTGGTACGATGAAAATGTTCTGGAATTAAATGGTGATGGTTTGGGCAACATTGGGGAAATATCAAAATTCACTGAATTTAATAATTCACTGCTTTAAAGTGGCAACTCATGATATATGGATCATACCTCAATTAAAAATAAAGAATCCAATGAATGCTACAGAAAAAAGGAAGTAAGAAGAGGTAGGCACACCAAGGGAAAGGGAGTCAAGGTGGGCAGTTTTGCTTCTCTAAGCTGAGAGGCTCTCGGCTTCAACAAAACACCTATGTGTGGGTCTCAGAGCAAGGCATTCTGAGGCTCTGTTACTTGGTTTTCCTGTCCAGGAATACATCTCTGCATCATATGGAAAGCTTTAAATTCATGATTGTCAAATTATGCTCTTAGGTAGCAGATATTTTAGAGTAGATCTTATTAGAAAATTATGCTTTATGAAATACTGTTCAAACTTCCATCAATTTTGACCTTACTTTCATTTTGAATTATATCAAGCTAAAGTAAGCTACATTAAGCTAAGAAACACTAATTTAGTACTATATTGTTCAGCGTATATGTCTAAGCTATCCATAGTTATATATGCCAGAATAAGGAATATAAAATCCTAAGAAATATATATAGTTTTGGAAGCTGGGCATGGTGGTGCACATTTGTGATCCTAGTACTCAGGAGGCTGGGACAGGAGGACCACCCATGAGTTCGAAGCCAGCCTGGCCTACATCGTGAGTTCAAGGTCAACCTGGACTACATAGTGAGACCTTCTCTCAAAAAAAAAAAAAATAGCTTTGGCCAATCCAGAAAAATATTATACATTTATTTTAAATAACTTATTCATGATTGAGATAGTAATTTTCTCATTGTAGAATATTTTGGAGATTTAGTAAAATACAAAGAAGACATAGAAATCACCCATAAATTTACTAATTATTCATGATAGTACAGTATTGATATTCTGAAATATTTCCAGTTGGGTACAGTGTGTATGCACACGTGCATGTTTATTTCCACACATGCACACATGTACAGAATTTTCCCATGGTTGAGGTCATGGTATAGAGGGAGTTTTGTATCCTGCCTTTCCCTAATGTCACCTCACAAATAATTCCCATGTCATTAGTTTTTTCATTAACATAAATGAGTGTATAATAGTGGTATTTAGAGAATTTACTAAGCAACTCCCCAATCACCAGGCATTAAGGCTATTCCCAAATTTCTGCTATTACAGAAACACAGGAATGCACAGTTCAGATCAACACTGTCCTCCAAAAGTGTCATGTGTTGGAGGTGGGCCTGACTGGAAGAGACAGGTCACTGGAGGTGTGACCCGGAAGGGTGTAGTATTGTCACCGCTCCTCCCCATGCTCTGCTTCCTGCATCCTGCTGCCATGTGGAGAGCAGCTTTCCTCCGCCAGACCCTTCTACCACATTATTTCTGCCTTGGATCAAACTGAACCCTCTGCAATGTGAGCCAAAATAAACCACTCGTCCTTAAGTTATAGGTGTTGGGTATTTTGTCCTAGTGATAGGAAACTGACTAATACAAACACCTTTACTTTCCCTCAGCAATATTTTTACAAGTAAAACTCATGACTCAAAAGTATGACCATTTTTAAGGCTCCTGATAAGACCCTAGTAAAGAGCTTTTGAATACAAACACTGTCTTTCCTCAAATCTTTATTTCTACTGTACAGCAGTTATATTCAAAACAAGATGATAAATAAATAGGCTATGACCATTTCTGTGAAAGTAACGGTAATAATTACATATCTTTACATATACTTTCCTAAATACATAGAACAATGCAGAGGTTTCGCCAAACTGTCAATAGAAATCCTGGGGGTTGGGGGTCATGGGAGAGCTGTTTCATGATTTCATTTTAGCTTGCAGTGGGCATGTACTAATTTTGTAGTCAGGAAAAATAATAAACCTAGTTATTGTGACATGGGAGGGACCTAAGAGATAATGCCCTATAATCTGATTTTAGAAGCGCCCAATTCATTTTTATGATTTGATGGCAGCTTTGAGGCAGGCAGCCACGTGGTCTCCATGATAACCAGGTGCCTGTGTCTGTCTAGCACTCCCCACTGTGCTCTTCCTGAGAGCTGCGAGCACGGGGTTGCTCTGCACGGGTGGGTGCACGGCAGGTGCGATGGGGGGGCCTCGGTCTTTGTGGAGCCTCTGCCCTTGACAACACTACTTCCCTCCACATCCTTCCCAGCAAGAGTCACCAAACCGCCTTAAGATGCACCAGGGTCTCCAGATTTGCCAGCCTGAAGTAAACCAAAAATTGGGCAGAGTAAGAGAAGAGTCAAAAAGGCAGAATAGAGGGTCTGACCTGATTAAGTTTCTTGTTACTATCATTTCATAAGTCAGTTTAAAATAAAAATACAGATAATTGGGCCAGGGATTTAGCTCGGTGGTGCCGCCGCCTGCCTTGCAAGCGCAAGGTCCTGAGTTTGATCCCTGGTACCAAAAAAAAAAAAAAAACAACAGATAATTCTCAGCCACAGATGCTTCTGTTGTCATCTAAAATATATTTTGGGAAAATATCATAACTTGGTGGAAAAATTAAAGGCAGACTGGATTTTATTTGAAAATGTGTTTTCTATGAGAGTAAAACTTCCAGATGAGTGACTTTCTATTTTATAAACACTCCACAAACCCTTCCATTTCCACTTGGAAATCTTTAAGACTTCCTCAGAATGCACGTTAAATATCTGTACTATTAATTGGAAAGCTGCAAGTTAAATGTTAGAAACTGATCACTGATCATTAGTGAGGAAAACGGACATGTGCAAATGTAAAAGCATGCAGAGCATGTCCTCAATAATAATTAATCAGTGTTATCTAAACATTCATCTGAAATTAGATTTTCATTACACAAACAAGGATGGTCCTCCTACTGAATTGCTTCAGAAGGACTTTGAGCCAAAAGGTTAAAAATCTTACATGGAGTCATCCTAACCTAGTACTTGACTCTTCCTGTAGAAACTCTATTTACTTTTAAAGCGTCTGTGAAGAAAACAGGAGTTTTGAACTTTGTAACTTGGTGGACAGCGCTGAGGCAGCTCCCTCTGCTAAATGCTGGGTCAGAAACCTCCCGATGCCTGCCTGTGGCTTCCTCCTATTCCTCCCTCTCGCTGTGGGAGTGCAGTGTCAGACACAGTGCCTTTGACCACAGAAGTGTCCTTGCTTATAACTAAAAAGCAAAAGAGTATTTTTAAATGTTTGTTTTACCAAGCAGAATGATTCTGGAGAAATAAGATTATCATAAGAGCTAACAGCTCTTCCTGGAGAGCAGGTTGGGAATCAGACATGTGCTAGATACAGAGTCCAGACACCAAAGCCATTTAATAGGACAAACAGATACAAATACTGTTCCTGGTGCGTGTTCAGTTGGTGGAGGCAGCCGATCCATCTCCCCACCCAATGGCACAGCCCAGCTCCTGGGGACAGGGGCCGTCTGTGTGCTGTGACACACTCTAGGGACCCACACCAGGCCCTGGGTTGGAGGTCTCAAGGGGAAGGAGGATCTCAGCAGCAGCCCAGGATGTTTTCCAGAAGGAAGCACACAAACAGGAAGAAAGAAAAGAACTTCCTGTTTTCCCCAGGGCATTTAAAAAAATGTCCAATGGGAGAACTCACAGTTCCCAGATGCGGAATGATGCAAAGAACTGTCGGCCCAGCGGAGAGAATAACAAATTGCCTTTTAGAGGGACAGCTCTATTCCAAAGATGTGTGCCTCTTAGCATAAGTTGAATTTAAGTTAAAATTGGTTTACTATCATTGTTCTTCCAGAGAGCATGTGTATAAGTCTGATGTTAAACTACCTGTGTTCCAATCCCTGATCCTCAATATACCGGCCAAGTATGGTGACACCAGTGGCAACCTCTCTGCCTCAGTTTCCCCATCTTTGAAATGTAGCTAGCAATGGCCCTCTTTTCATGGAAGGGCTGGAAGGATTTCTGTGAGGTATTTTGCTTTGTGCCCTGTGCAGAGTGAACACTAAATGCGTGTTGGCATTATCATTTTTCATAATGGCCATAACTCCAGCCATTCTAGCCCCCTTAGTTCAGGCCCGTGGACCCCACTCACCCACAGGCAAGATGCCAGGCCCACCAAGAAGGAGACCAAGGACCCTGGGATACACAGGGCACGGGATAGACTATTCGGGTCTTTCTCCAACTCCAGGGTTCAGCAAGAACATCCAGGGAGGGCGTGAAGTCCACCAGCCTGTGATCACCCCCAGGAGGGTCTGAGCATATGAACATGGCAGAGGGCAGCTGTGCCATGGCATGGCTGCAAGGAGGTGGCAGTGTGGCGGGGCACACATGACGGAGCCAGCTCTCTCCAACCTCTGTCGTGTGAGGTGGATTTCACATGGAGCAGAGCTTTCTGTGCCCCAGGGCTAAAACCCACTGATAAAACCCGCATTAAAATCTTCATAAAGTTTTGTTTGTTTTTAAAGGGGTAGATATTCTGCACAGCAGTTGAGAAATAAAGTGGGATGAGGAAAATGCTCAAAAGGGAGAGCCTAGGGTAACCTCTTCCCTTTATTTATATCCAGAAATGTAAGATGAACGTCAAGGGCATCACATGTTTCAAATTAGAAATAATGGGTGTTATACAGTTAATTTCCACTTTACCTTCCTTGGCTCACTGGAAACTTGGTAGGGTTTCTTTTCCCTTACACTTCCACTGAAATGCGTTTAAATTTCCTCTGCCTGGCCGCAGACATTTTGCTTCCTAAGCATAATTTTACTGGCTGGCCTTCCATCCAAATGTCAAATTACTTTTCTGTTTTATGGCTTCGGTGCCTAAGACAGAACTCAGGGCCACTAACAATTTGAGTATATGTCATCCAAAATTCTCGTAGAGGAGAAAAATACAGATGCAAGAAAACTAACATCTGAATTTGAGACATAGAAATGTAGGTCAGCTAAAAATGGTTTAGGAATTGCCAAATTGACCTGGAATGTCAGGCCAGTTAAGATCTAAACAAAACATGCTTTGGATTTTTAATTGTCTCTAAGATCTGCTAAGATAACATCAGTTGTGCTGTCAAAGTCAACCCACTCTCAACACGAGGCAGGGCCACTAACAGCAAAGGAGGGGACGCGCCCCAGAGCTTTGGCTTCAGTGACCTCCCAGGGATGGCTCAAGTGCACACTGGTTGTGAGCCTGGAAAATGACTACAGTGTGTGACTTTCCCAGGTCTCTGCCAAGCCTACGGTTTTATGATCCTTTCTGTCATGTACTTACCTGTCCTTCCTCTGACTCACCTCTTTCTTCCCTACCTTTGCCCAAGTAATTTAATGAGCTTTAACTTAGGGCAGTACAGTGACTTCTACCATCTAAAAATAATGCAGATTTGCTGCTATCCACACGTGCTACCTCTGTGTTAGTTTCAGAGTGTAAAGCCCAGGATCTCCAAGCCCACCTGGCCCTGGCGTGGCCGGAAGTTGGCTGGGAGCTGTGGTTTGTGTTCTTCCTGCTAAGGAGGACGCGGTGTGTGTCTGCTCGTGAACTGGTCATGAAGAATGTCCAAGGATTGTGCAAATCTGTGCTTAGTCACACTCCACACACAGCAGCGATGTTCACATCCAGATGACGGAAAGCCAAACTCGGTCAGACCGAGAAACTGCTCCCCAGAAGACACACGGGCCCATCTCTCTTACCGTTCTGAATGAGGGTCTGTGACCGCGTGAACCGTCCGTGGACAGCTGTCATGTGCAGGGGACTTTTGCCATCTTTACTCTAAAAACACGAGAGAAGGGGAATCATGAAGGTGCTTGTGAGCCAGGACATCAGTCTGAAAGATCCTCGTGGGCACTGCTGACAGAGCTGTGAAAACATCACTTGCAATTAAAAAAAAAAATGGTATCCTCACTGTGTTGAGACGGGACAAATGCAATAGAACGCATTGGGTAGTGTGTGTCTGATCCTGGTTTCTTGTCTCCCTCAAATGCTGCCCTCCTCTTAATTATTATATTTGTCTGGGCTTTGTAGGACTTTACTGAGTCTCTGAGTTGGTGATTGCTAGGTGGCCTAGTTTGTGTAAATATAATGTGTTGGTCTTTTCTCCATGTTCTTTTGGGGTTTTATTGTTTACAAAATTCTTTTTGTATTGAGAGAAAAATAGTCAAAGCACCTTTGACAGAAGGTTCTGCACCAGGCAAAAGGATCTGAAAAATAAGTTTGGGGAGGCTCTTTTTGAAGTGGTGATCGTGAACCATCTTTTCTTTTGTAGTCCCCTTTTCCTTGTTTCCTATTTGGGACCAAATCTGTCCTAAAAACTGGACTCCTACCTTTGTCTCTCCCCTAAAGAAAACCTACACACCCACACACACAAACATATTTAATTCTTGGAGTATCTCTGCAACTCTTAAGAGACTTATGCAGAAATCTTGAAGGAGCAAGGAGCCTCTACCCCTTGTTCCCAACCTCCTGAGTCAAGACGGTTATTTGATACAATTCATGCCAAGCACCTGCTGTCTGGATGGATCAAACCTACTGAGTTTGTAATCCTCGAGAAAAGGAAGTGGGGGCCTTGGGGGCCTTCTATGTGAAAGTGGGGTCAGGAGACCAGGAAAGGGAGTATGAATGTATATTCAAGTCACTCAGAAACTTTTATGCGGGTGCAAGAAACTTATGTCAAAGTGGCCTCAAGATTGTTTAATAGGAGACAGATGAATGTAACTCCATGTTTACTGCTAGAAACCAAACTTTGTGTGAAATCTTGAATTTATGGAGAGGGATGGAGGAGGGAGGGTGAGAAAGTATGTACCTGTCCTTTCCCTGAATCCTTCACACCATTCCTGAACTTCCCAGGACCAAGCCCCCTTGGGCTTTGGTGACCCCATCACCGGGGTGTCTATTTGATGGTTGGTTTTGCTGTACCCTTGTACACTTACTTCCTTTCCTATTTTCTAATCATTTTCTAACACGAGTGCTGACCCTTCCCTTCTCTTTTCCCCAGGAAAATACAAGGAATAAAAAGTTTTATTGGTACTAAAAAAAAAAAAAAAAAAAGGTATGAATAACAATTCCAAAAACCAAAATAATTTTGAAAGAAAAAAAGACCTATGAGCCCCCACCCGCGTTACAGTGTAATGGTGCATCCTAAAGAAGCAAAGGGAAGTCTCGTCCAAAATGGCTTTGTGACCTGCTGACAAAGGAGTTTTCTGCAAGGTGATTTTTTTTTCAGTTTTTTAAAAGACATATGCTGTGTGACCTTGCATGGCATTGTCTGACATGCAGTTTAGGGGTTGACTAAACTGCAATAAATCACTGCAGCTCTCAAAACTGACGGGGAAGCCTCCGCCATTCCCTATGTTCGTGTTCCACAGAAAGACATTTCTGACTGTCTGAAAGAGAATGCTTGGTTCCTTTAATTCATTAGAATCCTGAGGACGAAGGGCCGAGAGTGTTGGGGAAATGGTCACTTTCACGATCAGCCGGAAATGCGTGCTGCATGTACGCAGCTCTTATTGATTGTAGAAATTGTGATCCTAACATAGATTAAACCAAAACATCCAAATCATATAGAATCCATGTATTGATAATTACACCTAAAATAAAGGTTTGTTCTGGAAATGTGCCCAAAAGGAAATATGGCTGCCACGGTAAACCAAAAGCATCCCAAGGAGAGAGGAGGAACAGGACGTGTTTCCAACTTACAATGGTTCCTCTTAACAGTTCTCCGACTTTAAGGCAGCGGGAAAGCAACTCACATTCAGTAGAAACCATACTTCAGATTCTGAAGTGGATCTCTTCCTGGGCTAGCAATATGTGGTAGGAAATTCTCCTGGGATGGGGTGGCAGCCGTGTGAGCAGGAGGACAAGCGGCTGATGCTCTGTCACTGGGCTTATGTTGAGGAGCTTACATGAGCTCCGTGTATTTCCAACATACAGTAAGTCTGTATCGGGGAACCTAGCTCCACTAGAAGTCAAGGAGCATCTGTATTTTTATTCAAGTATTATATTATTTAAAATTCATGTAACTGCTATTTTTCTGTTTCATAAAGATAAACATCTCTATCTAATGTTAAAATGTGAGGATTCCAAAATGAATGGTTTTTTGGCAATAAAATCTAAATTCCTGGGCTTTAAAATGACTTTGTTTTTAAAACTTCATGCTGGAAAACAATCATTTAAATAAGATTTACATAGAGTGGGCCAAGGTCAGCCTACATTGGACTCCCCCAGGCCTGCGAAGAGGAGCTCTGAGCTCTGATCTATACCTGCTGAACCAGAAGTGGGGCAGAGGATGCCCATTTCTAACCCACACAGTACCCGACAGAGTAAGAGCCACTGATTTAGGCTGTGAATGCAAACAGCTCACAGAGTTCCAACAGAACGATTTTCATTACAACCAGTAAGTCTCCTCCTTCGACAGGAGGAAGTAGTTGCATAAGGTCTGTTCCAAGGGAAATGTTCATCAGAGTGATGACTGCGTCTTAACTGAAAAACAATTCTCACCTAGATGGTTGGGGGGAGAAATGAGAGGATAGATTTGATATGACCATAATCTACATCAGAAAGTATTGAGAAAGGAAGATAGAACTACATGAACGCTTGACTGGAAATCGTAGTTTTAGAGGAAAAGAGAACCCATGAAGAGGACAAGGACTTGGAATCCACACCATGAAAGCTGCTAGAAGCTCTGTCTCCAGAGCTTGCTCCTGGCTGTCACACTGCACACAGTTCAAACGATCAAAGGGCCTGGGAATGGTGTGGGAAGAAGGATCTAAAACACCCTCTTCCAATGACCAAGGGGTGACAGTCCACTAAGGTTAAGGAGAGGACAGAAATTTCACAGTCGACATTCACTTGTCCCTAGGTGGAGCTATTTCTTTAAATTCTGCTCCAGTATTTTCTCTTAAATTTAATATGAAAATGTAATTATCATTTAATTAAATAAATATAAAGCTATAAATACTTCAGTGTTTAGAAAATATCTTCATAAATATTTAACCAAGCACTTTGCCATGCCTGGAAAAGAGCTTAAAAGCTTTTACCAAGGAGAAAAGCTACTGACTTGGTAGCTCTCCAAACTGCAGGCAGAGTCAAAGCAGAAGTAACCTTTTTTTCTTGAAGAGTGTAGTCTGCAAAGCTGGCCCCACTTTGGGAACAGTAAACAACATGCCCTTATCCGTGGAAGAGTCTGTAATACTAGTCAAGGGACAAATAAACAGAGATGTCCAAGGTTGGTAAAATGCAAAGTCTGGTTCTAAGGTTGGGGTGATGGCTGCTCAGACTATTCCTAAACCTTTGCCTGGGCTCATCTATTATTGAACCCAGGCCAGTGGTGGCAAACCTACGGCACTGTGCCTCAGCGGCCATACAGAGCCCTCTGTGTCGCCACACGAGACAAGTCACCCCAGCACCCCAAATGCAAACTTTTACCTTTCAGTGAAAAGCTGTTTGTATCATTGAAAGCTCTGGTAGTGTGTTTTTCTTTTAAGCCAAAAGATGTTAATGTAGAGTTGTTTTTTCTAAACTAAAGCCTCAGTATTCAGGTTTAATAGCAGTGTTGGTACTTCGTGATAGATAAATAAGGGGGTTCAGGGCTGCAGTTTGGGCACTCATCTCTAAAAGGTTCTCCATCGCTGCTCTAGGCCATGTCAGACCTTTTTCTCATAAGGCTCCACACGGGGCAGAGGCGGGGAGATGGGAACAGGAAGTATTGAGAATACCAGGGCAGCCATTTGGGGGAAAGAAGGAGCTTGTTATTTCAAAAATCTGTTGAAAATCAATGAAGTTCAAAAAGATAATACTATTTCTTCAACCTTTAAAAGCTGGAGCGCAGCATATTTGGACTGAGACCAGGGGTCCTGCTGAGTTTCATTATCGCCTGAGAGATTTTTCAGGCAGGGCATGTGGCTGGTGCTGCTGTCCCTAGAACTTCAGTGAGTCTCCCATTTGTTCAAGGCCTTGTTTTTTACAAAAATGTTTCCTAATTTGCAGTCTCCCTCCAATTTCCTAGATATGCTTTCCCATCTGATTTCAGACTTTGAAAATTTTATTTTGAGAATTTACTTAAGTAAGAAGCTCTTTCGTTGATTTGGGTATGGTCAAACCCTACATCATAAAGAAAAACAAATGAAAATTGAGAAAGTTTTATGACAATATTAATATTTTTTCAGGGCAGAGCTCAACACTATATAAGAAAAATTTATCCTTGAACCAAATGGAGTCTTTCAATGTTCTTGAGTACTATTTCCTCAGAGATCCATCCACTCTTTGCTTTGATTCCCAGTGCCTTCTTTCCTCATCCTCCAGCATCCCACCAACCTCCTCTAAAGCTGGACGCTGTTACTCTGGGGCTCGGAAGCATGATGTTGTGGCAGGCCCTGAAGTCACTCTGCATGGCAAGTTTCCAGGGACGATGCCAAAGCTGGAGAACGTGAGGGAGGCACATAAATAGCAAGCGCCGTCTACACACTGGTTTGAAACAGCCACATGTTTTTAATAATTCTAAATGCCAAAGATGGCATGTGGTGGACATCCTCTCCGGACTGCCAGGTGCCCATCACTGCTTACTCTCGCCTCTTCCAGTCTGTCCCTTCACCTGGGCAACACAACCCACTCTGTAGTCTGGCCCTGGTATGGAGAAGGAAGGGGAGCAGCCCACTTCAGCAGACATGTAATAGGCTTCAGTTCCTAGCGTTTGACAGAAAAGAATTGAGATCACAGGCAGGCTACATGTTCGTGACCAGGAGGCAGGTGACCAGGCCACAGCACTTCCCAAGGCTACCCCTCACCCAGCACTCTAATCCCTGCCAAACTCGCAAAAACAGCCTTGAGAGGTCACGGAGACCGCAATGAGGTTTGTAATTCAAATGAACCTGCAATGGTTTCTTTGATCAAGGGCTATGTTTCTATTATTTTATCACAATTAAACTAATGCTGCAAGTCAAAGACAGGGCTGTGGCCAATCTGAGCAATCTGTAGCATCCACAGCACTTGTCTCCTCTTCCTTCCACCTACCCGGTTACTGTTCCTGAAGGCACCCTGGAGTGTTTTGTAAGAATAGAGGGAAACAAAGCGAACACGTGGGTGGATACTGGCTGCATTTCAATGCACTATTTTGCTCAAACTACGGGGACTCTTAAACAAACATCAATTGTCTTGCCTCTACAGACATTTTCAAAATCCACGGAGCAGTGTGGTGGTGCTGAGAGATAAGAACTTTAATTAGAAAGCTCCCTCCAGAGTCAGACAGGAGATGGTCCATGCATCCAGGGTGCATCTGGAATCACTGAGGAGGATTGGAGGGAATTAGCAACCAGCGCAGGAAGACAGAGGGAGGAAGACGGGCACACTGGACTCAGACATCTCCCCTGCACTGATTACATCTCACACTGATTCAATCCTAGGCTTCAAAGTTGCACTGCTTGAGTTCTATTTGTGATTGGCAGCACAGGGGGAAAACTGAATATTAAAATCAAGTAAATACGCATTTCAAGTCCATTTTGTGGGAAAGAAGAGAAGGCTGCCATAAATCAATGTGCATGGTTGAGTCTCTTCTCCATTCTGAACTGACCCTGGCCAGTTAACCAGAAGCAGCAGGTCACTGGGGGCAGAAAGTGGCCTTCTAGCGTCAAGCTCAAGGCACCCTGAGAGCATTAGGGAGGGCCTTTGCAGAGGAAGTGAGTTAATTAAGCAGAGATGTTGGAGCGAGCTACTCTCTTCAACTTCGATAATGTCCCTTCCTTCGAGGCATCCACAGGCTGCCCGTCCCACAGCAGGACAGCAGGACAGATGTCCAACACGTGGAGTCACTGATGACTGCGGCCTCCCCTCCCCCGTCCCTGTGACTCCAACCACACAGACTACTTCCCACCCTCAGCTACAGCTCCTTGGTCTCTTCATGTCCCAAGGCCTTCCTCTTTCCTCTTCTTGGGACCTAGATGATGTGGAACCCTGAACTCTCCATTTATCCTACTTTTCTGACCCTGCCTGCCTGCCACCTCCACGGTGATACCTCCCACCCTTCGCTTCCTCTCTGACCTTCTCGCACTCTGCCTGTTCCATCCCATGGTCCAGCTCTTTCTCCTCTAACCCTAACAGCAGGGAGCTCCTGGGGCCCTCTCCCCTCCCCTGCCTACACGGTCATGTGCTCTCTCCTTGGGTGATGCTCTTCCCGCCTAGTGTGAATGAGGCAAATGTCTTTTCTTTCACCCCTGCAGCTCTTCTATGCTACAGTGTCACATCTCCCACTGCTGCCTGGCTGTGCCAAAGGTCCCTAAGGATTAAACTCATGGGGTACCTCCTAAGCCTACTCTTCCTCCTGATTCCATCTTTTTTTTTTTTTTTTTTGAGACAGGGTGTCGCTATATAGTTCAGGCTGACCTTGAGCTCACTATGTGGCCCAGGCTGGCCTTGAACTTCCAGCAATCCTGCCTCAGCCTCTGAGTGCTGGGACTAGAGGTGTGTGGCACCACGCCCAACCACCCACTGCACCTTGATGAATGTTAGGGATGATCACTCATCAAGTGCTCGGCAGGCGTCAGCCACTGTTGGGTGATTTAAGTAAGTGCGATAATTCCATGTAGTCCTCACAGGGTTCTCTGAGGAAGGTGTCATTACTTCCTAATTTTACAGACAAGCACACTGAGGCCCATGGGAGGTTGCTCATGATTAACAGTGATTCACAGTGAAGGCCAGGACTGGAGTCCTGACCGCCTGACGAGCGAAGCCCGGGCTGCGTGGCCTCTCCCATCCTCATGTCACTCTTCACCCCGCCTCTCCACTTGCCTGCAAGTCCGCTGATTTTCTTTCCGCAGGGCCTCTCTTCAGCTGGCTCCTCCCAGTCCCTGTTCCTCATGCCCCTTCCCTGCTGTCTAGGTCAGTTTTACTGGCCCTCAATTACCCTGTCAGCCCTCTAGGGCCACTATGCCTGCAATAGAAAATAGATGCTGTTTTACGTTTTGGCTTTTTTGAGTACAAGAAGAACACATGCCAATGCACTGGATATAAAAATAACATGTGCTCACTGTACAGTACTGAATATTTTTTAGAAACTATTACTTTTGGATATAAAAATAACACATTATGATGGATCATAATCAGAAGGTTTTTTTAAAATGGAAAAAACTAAAATCCAAAAATCATAATTTTGTCTTTCTGCAGTGATAGCTGATGCTAGTGTGTTAGTCTATACTCCTGATAGTTTTTCTATGTATATACACATGTAACTTTTTAAAATTAAAAAATGGGATCGTATTTATCTGTGATAAAACTGGTATTATATTGTCTTTGATAAAAGTCAATTTTCAAAGGAAAATCTGTATTTCTGTACTAGTATGCGCTTTTCTAATTACTAATGATAGTGAATGTTATTAATTACAGCAAGTCCCTGACTTACGAACTAGTTCCATTCCGGGAGAATTGTTCGTAAATCAGATCAGTTCATAAGCTGACAGTGAGTCTGACACAGCACGCCTATGAAAGTTCCCAACTCGAATGTTCCTAAATTGGGGACTGACTTACTAAAATCTTTCACGTGCTTAAGGGATATTATATTCTCTTTCTGGTGAGCTGCCTTCCCCAAACTCTCTAGCGGTTTTTCAGACTTTTTCCTGTCGGTCTGTCTGTAAGAGCTCTTCATACTAACTTTTTTCTTATCATGTATATCGTGGAAAACTGTTCCTGAGTTGATCCCTTCAATTTTGTTTGAGTGTGTGTGGGTTTCCTCCCTTTCTGTTGTTTTGTTCTGCCATAGAAATGGCAGTCTTCATGCAGTTGTACATGCTCTCTTCCCATTCTGTCTCCTGCCTGTGGCTCTGCGGCAGCTCCCTGCCTCTGAGGCTCAGGCTGACCTCACAGCCCTGTCCGCTCCCCAGCTGCCCAGTGAACAAATCCTCTTCCTCAGTCCTCTCACATTTCGGCTTCTTTCTGGCTCTTTTCTTTTATCCAATTTCTATTCAATCACAATAAATGGCTGCTCGGACCATCTGCCCATATTTCCCCAAGATTAGTAAGTATGATACAAAACGTAAAAAGCTTTAGCAGTGAGTAGAGAAGCCTGATGTGATCTTCTTGAGAAGGACCCTTGTGCCACTGGAGACAGCACGTCCCAGCACTTGCACTAGGATTCCTGCTGTGCTTGGGAGAAGGGCAGGAAGCTGAGGACTCAGAAGGGCCCCCTGCCCAAGCCCCAACAGCGGGGGCCTGAGTGAGGTGCACCCACAGCCTGTGCCCCCAGTGCCTGCTGCCTGGGCTCCTGCCACGCCCTCTCTCCAATGATCTCTGTGCCTTCTCCTCTCAGCTGATCGTCTCTCAGCTGAAAAGCAACCTCTCCGTGTCCCCAGACAAGAGCACTCACTCCTCCTACTCTGCAGCCCCTTATTACTCTCGCGGCACACATCGAGTCTCTCCTGCCTGGTGACTGTCTGAGCGCATGCTGTCTCCTTTGTATACTGCAGATTCCTCGAGGGAAGAGATCACATCTTGTCTTGGAATACTCCTCCAGTGCCAAGCAGGGCACTAGGTTGCCTTACTAGATCTGACTAATAAAGCTGTGGTCAGGAGGCCAAGGCAGGAGGGCTGGAAGTTCGAGCCCAGCCTGGGCAACTTAGCAATTTACCGAGACCTTGTCTCAAAATAAAAAATAAATAAACAAACAAAATAAAAAGGGCTAGGGCTATAGCGCAGTGCAAAGGCCTGGGTTCAACCCCCAGTACTGCTCAAATCAGAAAAGAAAAGGAAAAGAAAGAAAGAAGAGAAGAAAAGCAATGATGCTTGGGGCCAGGCCTAGGTGTGGTTGCTTTAGGAAGGCGTGTGGGCTGCTTAGAGCCTCCCTTCCTTTGGATTCTCAAAAGCTCAGCCCTCCCTATGAGCTCCATGCTGACCTCTGCGTGAGACACTGGGCAGAGTCCACACACGTGAGACACAGTGTTTGTCCCTGGATTCCCCCTTAAGCTACCGAGCACCCCGCTGGACCCCGTGCCCCTGCAGGTGTGGGCCAGGGCGCAGGGGCACGGCCTGCGGACACAAGAGGTAAGTCCCAGCACACAGGTGGCTCAGCACGGACTCGGAGCCACTGAGCCGTACCTGGATGTTAACGTCCGCCCCGTTGTTCACCAACAGCTCCAGGCACAGGGCGCCGTGGGTGGAGGCGGCGGCGAAGTGCAGAGGGGTGAAGCCGCTGTGGTTGGGCTGGTTCACGTTGGCACCGTAATCGATCAGCTCGCTCACCACGGCATCCTGGCCATTGTAGCAGGCGATGTGCAGGGCCGTGTTCCCGTAGATGTTGATTTCGTCAATCTGCAAGGGAGGCCGCCAGGGGCCCATGAGATCACCGGAGCCAGTGTGCTCCACCACCACAGAAGCCCAACAGCTGCGGCTGCAGAAAGGAACCACTGCCCTCCGGCATGAGTTTTCAAGCTCACACACTCAGCCCGCAGGCCATTCTGGGCATGCTTCTCACCGAGGTAGAGATCAGCAGGAAGTGAACGCGATGAGAACTGACCCAGGAAGAGTAAGAGATTCTGGACCGTAAAAGCTTCATTCTGGCCGGGGAAGGATGAAGGGTGAAAGGCAAAGCTGCTTTCAAATTGCCAGAAGAGAAGTGGCTCGGGGCGGGCAGGTGGCCCAGCACAAGGGCCAGGGCACGGTGCCCATGGAGAGGAGGGCAGGGTGGCTCAGGGCCAGCTGTGGAGCCCACACACGTCACGCTCGGAGCCCTCGGCCTTGCATCAGGCTGCCTTCCGGTTTCAGAGTGGCCCCTTTCTGGGCAGGGTTTAGTCCCTGGCTCCCTGTGGCTTTCCTGGGGCTGTCTAGGTGCAGGCGTTGCCCGCCGGTCTCAGTGTGGCAATTTGGTTTTCCATTCCCCAGAGCACAACACCACTCCTGCCGCGCTAGCTGAAGGGCGACGGGCAGACAGCTCTTCTAGCCCAAAGCCGGAGACCTCAGCTGCTTCTCCCGACACCCAACAGTCGTTCTGCTGCAAGCTGCAAAAAGGGTGCTGTCTGAAGAACGAGGACCAGGAACCCCAGCCAGTCTTTAAGACCGACTGTTAATATGTCTTTCCGAGGATACATGTTTGTGTTCTCTATCTGTGTTGACATGGAAAGTTGGTCTGCTTCTGGTTTTCCATGAGTCCAAACCCCACTGTCTTTTATGAGGTGCCCAGCTTAATTCAGAAAGAAAGGATGCTAGGAAATAAGTGCTCCCCTTTGCACTAAAATGTGGGACTTAATTTCAGAGAGCAGCAAACCCCAACCCTCAGGCCACGCAGGGTACATTAACTGCCACTCACCTCCACCCCGAGATTCAGGAGATGTTTGACGACGTTGATCTGCCCGTTGGAGGCCGCAGCATGCAGTGGGGTGTAACCCTTCTTGTCCTTGCAGGTCACTTCTGCGCCATGGTTAATGAGCAGGACCACGACGTCCAGGTGGCCTTGACAGACAGAGGTAGAAAGCACCGTGAACATTTCCGGGCAGAGTGACAGCTCATTTCACCTCGACCATCGCTGTGAGCTTTTCAGTGTCACCTATCTGCTCAGCTATCTTTACAAAAAGCTGCCCCATGACAAATATTCAACAAATATGTACTGAAGACCTACTATGTGCTGGGCAGTATTAAATGCTGCAGGAAGACGAAGGACACGCCTCACGCAAGACTGGAGGGAGCTGTAGTGGAAGGAGGTTGCCACCGTGTCTGCAAGTCCTGACAGTGTGCTGGAAACGCCGCCTTGTAAGGTGTGTTAAAGTGAAATCAATGCTCTGCAAATAATGCCATTCCTCCCTGAAAAGTCTTAACAGGAGAGATTTGGGATGGAAAAACTGATAGAAGAAAAAAATCAGTCAATCAGAACGGGCCCAGGTGATTGTTAAATCATAGGACATTGCTAATGTTGAGTTGATTTATTTTCACTAAATTCATTGGTACATTTCACTCATCACTGGGAATTTGTGCCTGTACATGATGTATCTTGGTTCTTACTTTTTCCCATTCCCCTTCCTTCCCTTCAACCCCCCCACCCCTCCTATTTACAAAAGCTTTGCTTCTGTTTTCTTCCTTCTTTTCTCATATTTTTTTTCTTTCCCTTCTTTCCTTTCCCCAGCCCCCCTCCCTAGTTCCCCAGCCCCTTTCCCTATTCCACAGTATCTGTTAGACATTTTGGTCCTCATTTACACTTTCAGTTTCTCACACAAGAGAAACAGTTCAGTTCAATTTAAACATGTGTGTCCTATTTATTTTACTTAAGACTATGGACTCAAGGTGCATCCATTTAGCTATAAATGTCTCTAGTTCATCTTTCTTTATGGCTGAGTAGTACTCCATTTTATATTTTAAAAAACCATATCTTCTTTATCCACTCACCAGTTTATGAGAAATTGGGCTATTTCCAAGAGTTAGCTGCTGCAAACTGTGCCACTATAAACATGGGTGCACAATGCTGTGGTATGATGCTTTTAATTCTTTTGGGAACATATGCAACATGGGAATAGCTGGGTAAAATGGGACCTCTAGTTCTGTTTTTTCGAAGAATCTCCACACTGATTTCCACAGTGGTTGCACCAGTCTACACTCCCACCAGCAGTGGAGCAGTGTTCCTCTTCCCCACAGCCCCACCAGCATTTGTTTTTGGTTGATTTCATGATAGCAGCCATTCTTTCTGGAGTGAGATGGAATCTCAGCATTGTTTTCATTTGCATCTCTCGAATGACGAGTGATGTTGAACATTTTTCATGCATTTATTTCCTGCTTCTACTTGTTGAGTTGATTTTTAACCCAACATAAAAGTATTCTTATTAATTGTGCTAAAAAGAAAATCTTCCTCCCTGCAGCTCTTGTGAGCAATTTTTCCTAGGATATTTTACTCTGTTCCTCAGCGCACTAAATACAGAATGATAAATGAATCTGCTTTTCACTCATAATTGAAAATTTTTTGAAGCTTCATCATCATTGCTCCAAAGATGGTAAAATGAAGGGCAGAAGACAATTCTCAACTCCAGGACCTAAAATGTGTGCATGTGTGTGCACATGTGTATGTGTCAGAGAAAAAACCAGTTTGGTATTGACTTGTTTTATTAAAATTTGACTTTTTCTCCCAAAACTTGTCCACAGAAAAGCATTTTATTACTAGTGATGCTATCTAAAGCTACTGGTCCTGGTTTTATATTTTTTCCAATGTGTAAGCTGGTGGCACACGTAATAGTGATGTTAATTCTTTAAAGCCATTTTCCCAGATGTTTTCAGTATATGTCAGCGAAGGATGAACGTGAAGGCCCGATTCCCCGTGCCCACCCCACTCTTGTTGAGTGTATGTTCTGTCTAAATGTCTCTCACCTGGCAAACCTCCCCTAGCTCCTGTCCTCCACCCTGCAGGACCCGTGCCAACATCTGAATCTACCTCAGCCAGCCGGAAAATCCACACCACATGGCTTTTAAATTCTAATGCTTGCAAAGTTCTAAGATTCTTGGGCTTTTGAGCCCGAGGGATCATTCAGCCCCATGAGTAGCCACAAAATTCATTTCATCCTGGCCTAACCTGCTGGTTTTTAACTTTTTTGGGGGGCTACCAGAGTTCAAACTTGGGACCTTGCACTTGCGAGGCAGGTGGCAGAACCACTGAGCTAAATTCCTGGCCCACTAACCTGTTGTTTTTCTTCGTACATTAATGTTAACTTTTAAGATGACAGGAGCATGTATGGTTGTTAAAAAGGACTTAGTAAGGCACGAAGGTGTTAAAAGGAAACCAAAAGCACCAGTTCCTACAGATAAGCAGTTAATATTTCTGCACATAATATTTTCCAGATTTATTTGCTTATTTACTTGTTTTTGCAGTACCGGGGATTGAACCAGGGCCTTCACACTGAGTACATCTCCAGCCCTTTTTATTTTTAATTTTTTATTTTGAGACAGGGTGTTGCTAAGTCACTGAATTGCCAGGTTGGGTTCAAACTTAGACTTTCCTGCCTCAGCCTCCAAGAGTGCTAGGATTACAGGTATGCACCACTACTCCTGGCTTCAGATTTGTTTTTATTCTATAGACTTTTTTCCCCTACTAAAAGGAAAGCCATGCTATTCATTCTGTTTTATGGTCTGTTCTCCCTGAGTGTGCTGCAGAATCCGTCTATGGTACCAAACACGACCTCTGTTGTTACCGTCTGCCCCATTGTGCACATCTCCCAGAACCCACCAGGACAGTCTCCCGCATTCAGATGCTTATACCCAGCGCTGATGGGGCTGCCTTCTCTGCTAAAGGCAGGACACTGTCCCGTGAGAAACACCACGGAAGGAGCTCAGCCCTGCAGCCCCCTCTGCTGAGAGTCAGCACTGTGAGGGTTCTCCTTTGCCAGTTGGTTTGTACTGACCTCTCCTCTCACCTCCCTCCACCCAGGGTAAATGAACCTCTACAAAGCAGCAGCCTGGCTGGAGCGCCCTGTGCAACTCACATCTCATTCCCCCTGGAACTCAGGCTCCACGTCAGGCTTGCCCGAGAAAAAACCCACACGGGCTTGCCAACTCTGGCTGCAGCATCCTTACCTATGTACACTGCCCAGTGCAGCGCACGCCGGTCCTTCTTGTCAAATGCGTTGATGTTCGCGCCTTTGGCTAAGAGTAGATTGACCATCTGAAAGACAACCAAAAGAGAGGTCAAGGGGACGCCCAGTAAGGGCGAGGGCTCCCCACTGCCTGGAGCCAGTCAGAGACCTGGAGTTCTAACAGTCAGAAGGAGATGACAGCAAACCTGCAGCAGGAAAAGACTGAAGGGACACCTTACTCTTAAAATTCATTATGGCTCTAAATATACAGAGGAAATAGGGGATCGAAATATACGGTGAACTGTTCATTGAATATTTCAGCACAGCGATCCCATCATCCTTGCCACTGCCTGCAGCAGCTCTGGAAGTCTGAGTTCCTGAGTGTCTTTTTGAGGTGTGATCAAAAATACAGTGACTGCTGCTGCCGAGGGCCAGCCAACAAATAGCCAGGCTGTGAAACATGACAGTGTGTCCTCGCCCACCATATTCACCAGGTATGGCACTGTGTGACTTCTGGCTGTTCCCTAAAGTCAAAATGACCATGAAAGGGAAACGGTTTGAATCGATTCAGACATCGTGGCAGCCAGGAGAATGCAACTCAAGACACTCTGGAGAGAGGGCTCCAGAGCTGCTGCAGGAAGTGGTGAGGACCACGGGACAAGTGCGTTTGAAGAGAGGGGGAGGATTTTGAGGGGGATTCATGGCAATGTGTCTTTTATTGTATTAATATTTTTTAAAAATTAAGTATTCACTGTATGTTCGATCATACCTCATAGTGGCCTCATATTCCCTAAGTCTCAGCAGTGAGTTCAGGCTCCCTTTGGGCTGGGTCTGGACGAGAACACCCACCTCCACATGGCCATTCAGGGCCGCGTGGTGCAGCGCCGTGCGCCCCCCGCGGTCGGAGACGTTGACGCTGCTCAGCAGCGGGATGATCACCTCTGCGCATTTGATGGCCTTGTTGGCTGCGGCCACGTGCAGCGGCGTCTGCCAGTTCTTGTCCCTTGCATTGACGTCAGCCGAGTGCTTGATCAGCACTTGCACTGCTTCCTACAACAGAAGCAGGGTTGGCCGGGGCCCCTGACAAAGGCTCAGTCACCCAGAAGATGCCTCGCTGGATACGGGGCTGTCACAGAAAGGGGGACCCCTGCTGTCCCTGGCTGGCCCCAGACAAATCAATGAGGGGTGCAGCCCAAGGCAGCATCTCATCTCTACAATCCAGTGTACGTCTTCAGGCAAGCTAGAGGGCACTGTGAGCAGAGGAGAGCACCAGCAGCTGAGCGCCCTAGGCAAGCTGCCGTAGGCCCAGCAGCATCTGTCCATGTGCTGCCCGACTCCCCACGCTGAGAGGCCTCTTGGATGGATGTATAAACCTTTAGTTCTGTCTGCCAACCTCTTAACTCTCAGTCTTGTGTGATCAATATGCTGTTGAGGAAAAGAACACGTCTGGTCCTACCCCAGCTTGAAGCTATGAGACTGTTCCGTTCTCCTCAACCTTTCCTGTGTTATAATGGCTGGGTTCCTCTGCCACTGTCGACTCCCTCTCCTTTACTGAGCTCCTTGCTTTTGAGTTTTCTTCTGTTGACCTAATCAGCTCAGCAGCCTCTTCACCTATACCTCTCATCCCTGACTGTTCAGGGGGATCAACTGGGGAGGCTAGGGAAGTCAATGTCTGGTCCCCTCATGGGGCTGTAAAGGACCCCTGGAGAGCACCCCTGTGCTCAGTGGAGGAGTGACAGCTCCTCTTGAGGTGGGCACTGATTCGGTTGCTTCTGTCTGTGCACAAGACTTCTTGGTGCTTCTACCCGGCCACTCTGTCAACATGGCATCAACAACCAATGAAGGCGTCAGGACCAGGTTCTTGCCATCCTTTGTGGACCAAGAATTTGACCTCCGCCACCTCCATCCCCGCAGGACTGGACAGTCCAGTCTGCTTTACCATACAGGTATATACAAGTGCCCCAGGAAGATGACTCAAGCTCAGCAAAATCAGGGAAATGAATGATGAGACACAGGGAATGTTGAACCAGTAGCAGCGATACATTGAGGTGAATGGCTAGCCTGGACAGCAGAAGAGGGCAAAAGGAAAGCCACTGTGCAACCAAGACGACACAGTTTAAATAAACATCAGACAATTAAGAGTGCTCCACTGAGATGCTGCAAATAAAAGGCTGACTGACAGGGTCCACGCAAGTAATTTAAGACTGCAAAAAGGGAGAAGATCCCACTTATCCTCTCAAAGAATGACGATAAAATACTGCTGAATACTCCCTGAGCCCATTTTTGAGTGAAATATGTGCACACACATCACAAATGCTCACTGACTCTGCGCACAGCTCTGCTAGAACCATGCACCATTGAAAGAAGCATTAGCCAGGCTCTCGCCTGAAACCTACCTGAGTGAACAAAAATAGAAGAAAGGCTAAATCATGAGATTAAATATGTCATGACATAAGATTAAGATTAGAATAAGAATATTTTTATCAACTTTGATCTCATAAGTTGTGAAGTATAAATAAACTAAATAGATGCAGAGGCTTTCCATTGCAATGTGGGAAGAAAATACTGGCATCTCCATTTGTATTTATTTTCTTTGAAAAGGAGAGAGTTGGAGCTGGGACTTATCTTCTGGGTTGGCTCTGTGACCTCTGCAGACAGAAGACCTTCCTCACTCAGCGTTGTGGAGGTGCCCTTAGTAAAGTGGGCCCCCCACAACTCTGAGGGGCAGCCCCTCCGCCCACCCACTCCGAGTGCACTGAGAAGCTCAGTGATGGCCGGCTAAGTGGGCTACAGCTTCCGTTATATCCCTCTACACTAAAGGGACCCTAAAACGGACAAGACCCATGGAGGAACCCACACATGGAAGACAACAAGAGTGCAGGCATAAACCTGGTGGAAGCCACAGAGCCAAAGCTCTTGCTACTCCCACGGCAGCTTGCCATCATCAGCATTACAGAGTGAAAGCAGGGACAATTTATTCAGAGCTGACTAGAACTTGGCCAAAGCACAGAAGATCTTCAGAAGACTATTAGTTACACGCTTGTGGTAGACGATGATAAGTGAAAAGCCTCCCCCTGAGTGTAGGGTGCCTGGACATGTGAGCCAGTTCATACACATAATCCACGCATAGATGAGATGCATGTTTTGAGAACACATGCCAAAAAAATTGGGAGACATATCATCCAAAATGATGCTGACAACTCTCAAAATAATACTATGAGACCTGGAACAGTATCCTTTTCACACACGCCCAGAAAAATGACAGTGCGTGCTCTCACTTGGATACTTTACCTTGTGTGCTGTTTTCCTTACTTGTGTATATTCTTGCTTTGTAATAAATATTATGCAAGTTCATGATAGACTAACAAAACGAAATATACAAGATCATTCCATAAGTTTATGTTATTTGGAGACAAGATCAACAAATTCATGAGAAATTGGTACTTTCCTTGCCCTACTTTTAAATGAATGCATAGGAATGATCTGCAATTCACACAGACCAACATGCTAAGCAAAGATAGCATATATTTACGTGCCAGTTATAGTTTACACATAAATAAATAGGTTCAAACTTGGGAGGGGAATCTGTATTCTTTAACAACCAATACCTCCAAACCACTGTAACCACTGGTAAGCTGGAGTCTGTTCTGTGAGCAAAGCGTTGTTGGGGCACACCCCCACCACAGGGCCACAGGAAACTTGCAAGGCCTGAAATATTTGCTATCTGGCCTCTGACAGAAAACCTCTGCTGACCTCTGGTCTGGTCCCGCTTTCACTGCAAATTGGAAATTATCAAATTTGTTTAAAATAGAATTTTATCATTGATCTGCAAAATACTACTTCAAGCCAATTCACCATCTAAGGAGGGCAGATGCTGTCAGAGGCAGGGCCACCACGTGGGCTGAAGGTCAGTAGGGACCTTGGGACAGGGTGCAGAGCTGCACTGCACTGCATGATGGGATAGCGGCAGGTGGAACATGGCTGGCAGGAAGGGGTGAGCACAGAGAGAGAGGAGGAAAGATGAGGGCCCTGCACGCCGAGACGCAGAGGGAAAGAAAGGCGGGCACAAGCGGAACTCAAGGAAAGCAGGCTTATAGGGCCAGGCAACCAGCAACCAAGTCTCCAAAAATTCTCTGACAGCTCAGAATATTAGACCCTGCACAAGACAGGGCGTGGAACGCACAGATAATTGAACCTGTGGAGAAGCAACTTGATGGGACCAAGGTCTGGGTTGCACCTAAAACATCAGTAAAGGAAAAGGTCCACATTCATCGTCGTGGGGTGGATAAAAGAAGTGTGCAGGGTTTCTCGTCTCGTTTGAACTTCAGGCACTTCCCAAGGGACAGCAAAGGCACCACATCCACCTTCCCCACCGACATGCTGCTACAGCTCAAGGGGGCCGAGCAGAGCCACCAATTTTATTTCTCAGCTTTTGAAAATGTTTCCACTTTCCCATTCGTGCTTGTATTTCTCTGTTTGTGTAGCAAGTTGCACAGTTTTCCTGTTCCTAATGAGAAAGAACTCTACCAAGGAGCATTCAGCACGTGAAGAAGTTCTTACTTAACTTCCAAAGATTCGCGTTTTGAAGAATGAAGATGCAGTTGTTTAAAATGACTGTGGAACTGGATGTACAGACGTAGAGAGCATGGGGATGGAGGTGGCCCGAGGGATCAGCCTGCTGACCCAGCCTGCCCTGTGGATAGTCTCACCCGAGCCTCCCAGCACAAATGCATTCAGTGGTTAGATCTTCTCAGTCATTTACATTTAGAAACTCGGAAGGTTTGGTCTGCCAAACTGATGTAATACATGTAATAGAAATTTAATACAGTATTTAGGCCATGCCAAAGTTTTGATAAAAAGACAACTTCCATTTTTAAAAACTGCATTCCTCTTTCGAAGTTAGTTTTACATGGGAATAATTTTATGACTATTTAGGAAATTAATGATTTTTTTAAAATCAAAGAAGTGTCCCTGAGGCTGCACTCAAGCTCTGAAGGTTTTTATTGTGTTACTATATCACATGAGGCTTTTATCCATATTGATTATAGGAATTTCATATTCATCCTATAAGAACTGTATAAATTGGTGCTCAACCAATATGGTCAGTGAATAGGATTATTCCTCTAGAAGTACCCACCATCAAACTAAACTCACTCAATTACTGTAATTATTGTAGAGCACAATTATTTTAAGAACTAGTAGTACAAAGGTGGCCCACTGGAGACCTGGGACAGGAGAGGATTTTAAGGGAACTATTCTCAAAGCACTGACTTTAAACGTTAGGAGAAGCAGACCTGAAGTCTTCCCAATCTTCAGCCCCAGGTTTCCAAGTGTGGTATGTAGACCACAGGCAGCAGAATCTTGCTTTTAAAATGCAGGTTTCTGGGCCAAGGCGACTCATACACACTGAGCCTGAGTACTGCTAATTACTTCTAATAAATTATAGAAGGCCTACTCTCTTCCTGTCCCAGGTAAGGCCTATGCTGTAGATGCCAAGATCTTTCCATAATGACAAAGGTAATTTAAAGAAGTCAACGACATTCTAATCTTCTAGATAATGTCTCCAATTCTCCTATCTACTAGCAGTTAGCTCATAGCAATGACAATGTTTTTTAGAGGAAGGAGAAAAACATGAGTTTAAAAATTTTAAGCTATGAAGTAGAACACTTGTCCCGCTCAGTTCTGGGAATGATCTTTATTTCAGCTTGGAATTCTGTTTGCACAGAAGCCAAAAATAGATGCATTGTATTGGCTGACAGTCACTCAAAGGACAAGGGAACCAGGGCAGACGTACCCAAGTAGGTTCCAGGACACTCTGCTCACTGGCTGAGACATCTCGGCTCCTTACTTCTCTGAGACCCTGCTTCCTAAATTAGTGTTACCAATAGTGCAATCGCAGAGGGCGGCTTGAGATTAAAATGGAATACTGCACAGGGCATCTGTCCATAGCCCACTACCTGGTACACAACACTGCTCCATAACTGCTCCTGGCTGTGTTCTTACACGGACACGATGTCCTCGTCCTACACCCCAAAGATACATGCAACCATTTTTAGCTTTCCTAACCAAAAGTTTCTAGAACAGAGGTGGAAAGTTCAGCTACTCTCAGAGCTACTTCGGAGTTACATCTCTTCCCAGGGGAAAGGCCCTGTATGAAAGGCCAGGTACAGCTGTGCCCCAAACCCCACGTCCTCAGAGCCAGACTTTGTAGGCCCTCCCAGTCCCACTCCACCCAGGGGATTCAATGAACATGTGCTCAGCTTCCAGAAGCATGTGTTGGGCTCTCTAGGTTTACATTCATTTAGTTCCTTTCCCTAAAGCTGCTTTTTTTCCAAGAAAGAGAAGTGAAGAAGCAACAGGAATAAGCTAAGCAGGAGAAACAAGAGGAATCGTTCAGAACAACACTGGATTATTCTCCTGGCAGCCCAGATTTGCCCGTCTGTGATAGGAGGCATTGAAAATACGCTCCCTAGTATTTTAAGATGTTCTTTGCTTCTTCACAGCCCTGGCAATTGCTCAAGGCAAGGAGCCTGTGAGGGCAGCACAGTTCAGAACCTTTCCGATGAAGACATGACTTTGAATACACATGTGGACCCGAGCACAGACAGGTGCAGCTGCCATGCTGAAACTAGGTGTTCTCTTCGTCCAAGGCTAACAGCAAAATGCCAAACACCAACCCAAACCTCCTCGGCCCTCTCCCCTCAAGCTTCCTTCCCTTTCTCCCAACTATGAGTTAGGGAAGACATAGAACAGTGGCATGAGGACCAAATTCAGAAGGACACGGAAGTCTGGATGGGGGCTGGGGGGGGGGTGTCCTCCTCCTCCAGCCCCGGGATGGGCATGGAGTCCAGGTGTTCACCGCGGGGCAGCTCTAGCAACAGACACAGAAACCCTGTTTTCCTAAGGAGCTTTTCAGCTTGCTGGGACAGGTATGAACACGGAGACACTCTCCTTCAGAGCTTATATGTGATTGTGATTATTTACAATCAGGGCTTGTTTGCAAACACCCTGAAATCCTTCCTGACAGGCACCTGCAGAGCTATTTCCCTGGAAAGGCTTCAGAGGGAGCTGTGACCCGGAGAAGCAGCAAACCCTCTTCCCAGACAGGACGGTCATCCCATTGTTGAGGTGACTGGGTTCAAACCACTAAAGATCAAGAAAGTGGGCTGATGGGTGGTGGAAACAGCTGCACTGAGGACTGAAGCTTTTGCAGCTGGAGCTAAGAAAGGTGTAGATCACTTGGGAAGGGCACCAATGTGACCTTTACTTACTGGAATGGTCCGTTGTGTCCCTCTTGACTGACTACATCCTGAGGGTGAAACCACAGACCTTATTTCTCTTTGTAGCCCCATCAGCAAGCACAGTAACTTTTTAAACTAAAACAACCTTGTTAAAAGGAAACAAGCCACTCCCCAAATATTTAGATACTGAAAAGAAATTTACCAATGATCAAGGGGTCTTAAAATTTAGACCAGGAAATAGTCCCCTATGATGAGCTGATCTCATGAAGTGGTCCCAACTCAAGCAGCCCACTGCCCGAGCTTTCCCAGCCAACACAGAAATGCAATGTGGGCCCACACGAAGATGCCGAATCCTCCACCATCCAAGCAAGGCAATTCAGACTCATTTACCTCCCTTATTCTATGTGGACCAACCAGAAGGACACACAACAGACCTCTTTTTGAAAGCTCTCAAGTCATGCAGCTGAGCAAGGAAGGTGAGCCACTATCTACTAAGGATACTTAGAAATTTCCAAGTAGCTCCCAAAAGGGACGCTAGCATCCATGCTCACCAGTAACACCTACAACTTCAGTGTATTTGTTTTCCTGCTCCAGGCGCGCCCAGAGGACATCCCCTCCTCCAAAGGCAGAGCTTCATGGGGGCAAACTCGCCCTCGAAGGCCTCCGAGCTGAGAATCCTGTATCTGCATGGTGGGCATCTCCTCTGACCCCACAGGGGTCTCTTCTTCTTGTCCCTCCATCCCCCTGAACCAGACCATGCACCCTGCCTCTGAACTACACAAATAATCTAGTCTATGAGGCATCTTCACCTGAATTTCCAGCAGTCACCTTGGGTTTTTTCTTGACTATCAGGTCACTCTATTTCTGCAATGTACCATGAGTGGGGTACATCAAGGAACAAAACACAGATCCCTGTCTCCATGGAGCTTATATTCCAGGGACATGTTTCCCACACTCAGTGCACTGAAAAGAACTAACTAGCTTCCCAGACCCTGGCTCACCTGCTCTGGGTCTTCTCAGTCTATGCACTGGTTAAGTTTAACTGTTATCAACTTGATTGGTTTGGAAGCCATGCAGGAGATTAGTAAAGCACACTTCTAGGTCATGGATGTGTAGCTTTCGATACTATTTCTGGTCCCTCGTCCCTTCCTTTCTGGTGCTATTCCCTAGCTTTGCTTCCTTGCCACCATGAACTAAACATCTTTATTTTACCACTTCCTTCCACCATGATGTTCCTGCCTTAGAGCCAGCCAACCATGGACTGAATCCCCTGAAATCATGAGCCAAATTAAACCTCTCCTTCTTTAAGTTTTAGGTGTCAAGTATTGTGTCTCAGTAATGAGAAAGCTGACTAATATAGTTTATGACATCACCATTTACTCACTGGCTTTTCTTTTTTTTTTTTTTTTTTTTTTTGGTACCGAGGATCAAACTCAGGTCTTTGCACTTGCGAGGCAGGCAACAGAACCACTGAGCTAAATCCCCGGCCCCCACCCACTGGCTTTTCTTTCACTTCATTCCCATCCTGTCAGGTTTACAACTAATTATCTCTCAAATCACTGACTCCTTGCCATGCCTCGGCTCCATGTTCTTGGGTCTCTTTGGCCTTGAACTGGAATCCCTGCCTGAAACTCTTCTCTTCTGCTCATTTCCATCCTGCAACCACACTGTGTTTTCTGAATTGCTTTTCTGAGTGAGTCACTCCCCTGCTGTGACTGTTCCCCACGGCTCTCTGCCACCTGGCCCAGCCCAACTGTCTGACTTACCTCGCACCACCGTGTTCCCGTTATGTCTACCTGAGCCACCATCGTTAACTTCCATGCCTCGGCCCTTTCTCCTTTTCTAGCTTGTGACATTCCCACTCATCCTTTAAGAACCATATCAAAAGACATCTTTTCTTAGAGGACTGCCTCCATGCTCGGAGTTGCTTCCTCCTCTGAGTCCGTTCTGATATTGCACTAATCTGCTTCCTGTCCTCCTCCCCCTGCAGCCTGAGAGGGGACTGAAGTCAAAGACCATGCTGTCCAGCTTGGACCCTTCCACCACAACTCCCCTGGCCCATGTCTGACAGGCAGGAGGTGTCATAGAGGCGGCTGTTCGTTTGGTGACCTTCTTGTATTAGGGCTGAAAGCCTCTTCCTCACTAGCAAGGGTCCCCCTCCATTGGAAAGAAGGCTTCCCCTGGGACAGCAGGTGTTACATGAAATAAGGTCATCACTCACCTCACTCCTGGAAGCCACTGCCCGGTGCAGCGGGGTCAGCCACATGTTGTCCTTGGCATTGACACGAGCTCCTGGAACCAAACAGCACAGGTTTTTAAACTTTTGGAAAAGGCTGCAGAAACTCTCATGAGTAAAAGGGAGCTAGATGTTCAGTGTAAGGCACTGGCTAAAGGGAAATAGCAAATCCTAGAACTTATACTATTTTTGTCTTTAACTGAAGAATAATTACCATCAACAGCATCAGCCATAGAAAACAAGAAGACTCCCTAAAACAGAGAGAGAGAGAGAAAGGGAGAGAGAGAGAGAGAGAGAACCTCCCTCCTCCAACCCCATGCTGATGATGTCACTGGTTTGAAATGGTGCAAAGATCCTGAGGACTCAAAGGCAGTGTCCAGAGCCACTGGGGAATTCCTGCCTGGTTAATCAAGGTCAAAATCATTCCAAAGCTGATTCCACTGCCTCCAGCGTGCCTAAGCCAGTTCAAACCCCTGCTCCATATGGAGCACGGTGAAATCAGCAGTGCAAGGGGCAGGCATCGCTGGCTCCAGGCACAAAGCCGTGGCCCAAACACTCTGGAGGGAGAGGAACACGCTCATGAAAGGACAGCAGGATTTCAGTCAGCAGCCAGATCTGAACTCTGATTTCAGCACCCACTGATCCTAAGACCTAATATCTCATCCCCTCTGCATCTGTGACTCAGATGTCAAAGGGAATAAAAAGCACATCCCTTGTCCAAGGAAGTGGGAGGAAGTCAAAGAAGTGGTTTACAAACACAAAGAGCCATCATCTAGAGCTTGTATAAACAAGTATCTTTCTAAGAATGCTGGGGAGAAGGAAACCCATGTGATGAACACAGGAAAACTGCTGAACTTTAAAACAAATTTCCCACTATGATAAACAAATTATAGATTTCCTCTCTATGTCCTGATTCCAGCAGGAGGAGCCAGGTGGTTGTGACAAAGCCCACCTTTCTGGCTTAGAAATGAACAGATCTTATCCTTTTAAGCTCTTGTATTTCCTCTTCCTACATTCTGAAAACTCGCCAACCCTCTAAAAATTACCATCTTTTTAAAGCCTTTTCTTGGGTCATAAATATGTAGGTGTTGAAATCGCCTGTCTCTCCAGAAAGCCGACTGTCTGGCTGGTATGCGTTCCTGTTTAGGCCGTTTCTCTGGTGCTCAAGTTCCAAACATCCTTCAGGCTTCACTCGGTCCTGGAAGGCTGGGTTCAAGCCCATTATTCATAGTCTTTGGCCAAAGTACATGTTGAGCTTTGAATTTTTGGTAAACTCAAAAAGCTGATGAAAGATGACACCCAAATGGCAAGACACATGTAGAGATCCTTCTCAAAATTCATCAAGGAGAAGCAGCAGAGAGCAACATCAACAACCATTACACCCCTGCTAAATTAGTGAAAACGATAAATTTTGATGATGCCCACGGTTAGCCAGGGTTTGGAACAATGGGTAGGCCTAACACACAGTCAGCAGGAGTGTGAATGGATACAACCCCTTTGAAGGAAATAATGAGGTGTTAACTAATAAAATTGAGGAGGGTCATGCCCACCTAGCGCTTCCACCGAATCACACACCCAAGAGAAACTCGAATGTGAGTAAGAATGTCTACTGTCGCATGCTTACAGCACCTGGAAATTGGGATCCGCCTGCTGATAAGGGGAAATGCATCACTACACTGTGGCATTTGTGCACAATGCAATGCAACATGGTCACAAATGGCCTGGAGTTCTGTGTACAAACAGAGGTGCTTAAAATCACAGCAATGAATGAACGAACAAGTTGCAGAACACCCAAAACATAATAGCAATATATGAAGTTTTTTAACTTATAAAAATAATTCTATAAATTATTTATGGATGTATAGACATCAAGTGAAAAAGTAAAAATATGGTCAAGGTGCTTCTAAGGTAGAAGGAATGCAGTAAACATCTGTGAGTGTGCGTGTGTGTGTGTGTGTGTGTGTGTGTAATGCAAGTAGGGTAAAATTCTAAGATTTCTTAAAGCTTGGTGGAAAGTATAGAAGCATTCATTATATTATTCTCATATCTTTGCAAATGTTTGAAATATTTTCTAAAAATTATTTTAAAGAAAGGCAGTGAATTTGAAGTTTTATGTTTTATAAGACATGAAGGGGGATTGAGTTACCTTTCCTTAAACTATTTTTGTTCTGGGTTAGTAGCTCCTGGTGGAGAAATAACCCTCCCACAACTTTCCCATGCAAAGTGGCCCAGCCATGCGGCCCCTGCCAGGCAAGGCAGAGGACAGGAGCCAGCAACGCACCATCTGATGACCTCACTGTCCAGTCTGGTCAGAAAGCACGCGTCAGGTTGGTGCTGCACTACTTGCTGGTCTTCCTGCCGCTACTCTGCTCTTCCATCTCCTCTCTCCACAATCACTGCCCACCCTGCAGGGAGGCCAGGTGAGCTCACCTCACTAAGAGGTACAGCCCCTCCGGGTCCACAGCACAGAGCTCTTCATTTAGGGACCTTCACTGTCTCTAACCGCCATGCTGTCATCCACACTTAGCATCCACGCATCTCACTTGAGGGGCTTCATCACCAGCTGAGCACTGGGGCACCGAGGCTGCAGGGTGTGTGTGAGCTGTTACACACCCAGGCTGCAGCCAGCTGCTTTGGCCATGGCAAGGGCAAGCCTTACTCCCATCTCCTTCTTCTCCTCCCTCCTGCTTTTCCTCTCTCCCTCTCCTCTTCCTCTTTCCTCTTCTTCCTTGTTCTCTCTCTCTCTCTCTCTCTCTCTCTCTCTCTCTCTCTCTCTTTCTCCCTCTCTCTCTCTCTCTCTCATTTCTGTCTTTTTGGTGTATGGATTAAAATACTCTATAGCATCTTTCTAAAGAAAATAACTACGGGTGACTGTCCAAATTATTCTTAAGCATATTTTATTAAAGGTTGATCATAAAAGTCAATTACTGAAAACAACTCCAGTGTAGGTCAAGAAAGAGTCAGTTAAATAATTTGCTTGGTTAAATAAATTCAGTACAGGCATAGAATGTAACCCTGAGGCTTTGGAAGAAATCCCAGTGACATAAGACGTGTTCATAAACTACTCTTGATGTGCAAAAAAGTGAGTACTGAAACACTACAGAGAGAAGGAGTCTATTTGTTGTAAAAACTCCGAATGGTCTATGAGGAAAGACCATGACAGCCCCAAGCTCAATGCCACATAACTGTTTGCTGGACTCTGAGGGGGCAGAGTTGGGGACTGAGAAATGGAGGCTGGGGGTCCCTGCCCTGCCCAGTCTTGAGCTCAGGGCAGACAGAAGGGAAGAGATGCAGACTTTCTGACTGACATAGAGATCACCAATGTCCTGATGTCTCTTCAGCAGAACCAATGTGACAAAGCCATCAAAATGGACCTATCACAGTGAACAGCAAAAGCCTACTTTACTTCGTGTGCTGATCACACAAGTGATACGAGAATGCATTCTTTTCCCAAAAATGGGTCCCTGCAGATGTAGCTAATGTCCTGTTGAGTGCCACACCCAGGTTAGGCTCTCCCTGCCTCCCAAAGTTAACGGCTGCCATGAGGTCAGTATGGAGTTCCCATGTGCTCTTACATCTTCATGCGGAAATATACGCATCCACGGAAAATCCTGAGAATTCAGTTAGGCGATCAGTACAGTATCTTCTGTATATTCCAAATATTGCACAACAATTTTAGAAAATATAGCACTATGTATGTTTTCATGTAATTGTATTATATTGCAGTAACACTCTGAATTCCCTTATTTCAATTAAAAGCATGTGCATTGTGTCTATATATGTCGACACAGAATGCATTTTTAATCACCAAATGTATTCAATTGTAAACACACTTTTTTTTTACATTTCCTCTATTGATGGTGTTTTTATTATTTCTCGTATTCCTCTATCCAAACAATGTTTAAATATAATGGACCTTTGACTTACAAACTCAGTTTGTTCTCAAGGGCTGGTTGTAACTCAAGTTGGTCAACTGAAGGCTCAGGCTCCTCTACACAGCTCTCAAAGTGTACACAGGCAGATCTCAATGTCCTTAGAAAGACCCTGGCCCAGGATTTCTCAGTGAACCCCACACGGGAAAGGACGCTGTCATGTTCCTTCCAGAACTCTTTAAGGGTTAAATCTGTATCTGAGACCATCTGGAATCAAAAGTGGCCACCATTTGGGTCATAACTCAAGACTTTGGTCATAAGTTAAAACTAAAATTCCAGTCATAACTCAAGCTATTCTTATGTCAGGCCAGTCATGAACATCCACAAAATGACTTTTGCAAATATGTATGTATTTATCAAGGAGAGAGAATTTTAGAAATATTTGTATGCCGTAGGCAGTGTATATTTTGGTTTATGATTGTTGTTGTTATTGTGGAAGAGAGGATCAAATCCAGGACCTTCTCACTGAGCTACATCCCCAGGCATTATTTTATTTTGAGACCGGGCCTCATTAAGCCACTGTGTTCCCCAGAATGGTCTCAAACTTGCATTTCTTCTGCATCAGGTTCCCAGAGTGACGGAAGTTTATGCATGTGCCACCACACCCTGCTGCTTTGGGTTTTCATGGGTGCTCTCAACCTTCAAAGAGTGCTAATTTACACACTCACTGTGTAGAACATCGCTTACATTCCCCACCTCTTCAACATTTGCTATTACCAGTCATTTTACATACAATGACTTGGAATCAATAATATTATATTATGCACTGAAAAATTCATTGAGAGGGTACATAGATCTTGCATTGTTTTCTTGCACCTGAAAGGAACATCCCTAAAGCCAAGAGACACAAGGAAAGTCCTGAGACAGCTTTGATGGTAGCACAGGTTTCATGAGGGAATGCACATGTCCAAATTCGTCCACTGTACCTTAAGTATGTCCTTAAATACTGGATATCACTTCCACTCCAATAAAGCAGTTTAAAAAATAAATACTAGATATCAGAGGGGAAGCAGTGGCATTTCATTTCTGTGTCTTCCTAAGAATAAGTTTGGGCATTTTCCACTCATTTGTAATTCATCTTCTGAGAATTACTTGTTCACATTCTTCGCCTATTTCCCCCATTC